ATTTTCTTTATAACAGAATGAACTAGAGGAGATAAAGTATTTCATCTCCCTTCAAATAATCTGTAATTTTATTACACTTTATTTGCTCCAATATGTGTCCACTGTGTATAAAATAAAATTTTAAAAGGTAAATGAATAATTTCGTTTAATAAATTTGTTTGCACAAATGTGGGATATAATTATTGTTTTGAATCAGCCTAAATATGCGGAAATCTAATTTTGCGAAGGAAGCACTTACCAAATTATAATTCAAAAAAGGTTCTGGAACAATAGGTGAACGAGTACAAGTGTCCTCACTGCCTACTTAGTATTTCTCATTCTGAAATTAAATCTCCATCATCACTGGCCTTTAACATAAAAAGCATACCAGCTTTATAAAAAAATCGTACACACGCAATGGCTATTCGAATTCCGATGATTTGGATAAGGCTTTTCATAATGCTTTCAATCGTTGCAGGGAAACGTGCGACTTGTCAGCTCGCAACGACTGTTTCGAAGATTTTCAGCCTGGTAAATATTTATTTTGTTAAGTTTGTTTGCATCTGATTGCATATTGAAATATGTAAATTGTCGTTTTCCTCGGCATCAATGGCTGTTGGATGTAAAACAAGCAATTTGATAAGCTCACTTCGATATTGCTAATGGAAAATTCATTGTTTTATTATCCGCGAGGATTTTGAGTCGCGGTTTAAGCGAAAGCCAACGAATTTGAATAGTTTTTTTGGTTAATAGAGCAAACAATTTGTATGGGATTACTTGAGTACAAGTGCTGAATAAAAATTAACCGAATCGTTGGGATTGTGATACAAAATAGACCTTTTTGCAATAAATATTATAAATGTACTTATAAAAATGGCCCTTACAGCCGTTTAATATGATATAATGTGAAAGAATATACGTTTTACGTGTGCTGTTGACCTCGACTCTCGAGTTTCTGAGCTCATCATTTACGAAAAAGCATTATATCTGTGCCCGTTTAGAAACTGAAAGCATCTTGCCACAAGGTATGAGTTTGGAAAATATTCCTGTGAGAAATTTCCTTAAAAATTGTCTACATCAGTATCGATTTCTGGATTTCGACGAGATTTTACTTAGCCAGTAACACTGTAATAATATTTCTTGAGAATAAAACGAAAACGGCATGAAATTCCAAGTGAATTACAGAGCCACAAGTGATGTGATTTCCATGAAACCAAAAAAAGGACGAATTCACTGGTTACCTGCTGAAATATCTCCTTTGGATAAATGTGGCAGAAAGTGTTCCAACTTTTATGCTGCTAAAGTATTACGAATATCAACGTTCGCAAAAAGGGAGGCATTACTCAGAAAAATGTAATTCTTCAAGATCGCCGACAACGTTCCATAGTTTCAATGCGTGTCCCCTGAAAAGTTTGTGATTTCCCGCGGGACTATAACTTATCGAACAATCCTGTGACGGGCTATCTGCAGAATGTCCAGATTTAACACGGGAAAACTTTTGTGCACCTTTTCCTTTACCTCGCCCAGTGATTTAATATCGAATGTCCAACTGACTTGATGGAAACTTTAATGGAACAACTAGATTTTTGCGAAAATCTTTTTGATTTGCTATATTAGTTGATTGGATGACGAAGTAGACGGTTTTAATTACATTTAATATGGAATTAATGTGCTGGCAAATGCACTGGATTGCAGGCAAAAAAAGAAGAAGAAGATTGAATTTTAATTTAAATAATTACGAAATAGGAGTAAGAATTTTTTTTGTAATTTATTTCATTCGTTGATTGAACCAATTACCAAATTATTTCTTAAATTGAGCCTTTTGGAATGACTTTATTTTTTCATTTACCGTTAAAATCAAATTTTAATGTTAATTTCAAAAAGACGAAACCCCTTTTCATATGCCATTTCATTGCAATACTGCGAATGGCTATACCCCAAGGAGATACTCGATATTCCAAATACCGCTTGCTATGTTAGCAGCACCAATTTATGCACAATAATACAATACATCGAAGTTCCCGATCTCCCCAGGAAGCCTCCTCTCTGTCTCTCCCGTTGGCCGCCCTTTCGGATCGATAGCCGGTGACGTCATTGACCCACCCCTGACGTCATCGCTGAACTGAATTTGCAGACACGTGAAATTTCGTTGGCCAGAATCCGGGGCGCTTGTTGCGGGCATAAATTTAGAAAACCGCTCACCTGTTTTATTTCATTTTAAGCGTTTGGACGTCGGCGAAAATTTATCGGCTTTATCCTGAAAACTTATTGCCCCTCTTGTTTTTACTACTGTTCTAATTTTCGGAATGATTTAAGCCGTTTTTTGCATCCGAAGGAAACAGAACAACCGGGAGGCGGTGAGGATATTCGGTAGTATATTTTCCCGTTCGGTTTGATTGGCAAACATTTCATGTATGCTCTTCACCGATGAGCATCTTATTTCAACTGTTGCTGAAGGATAAACACCGTAGAAACGACGTGTTCCCACTAGCTCAATCAAAAGTTGGAGCAGCATTAAAAACAAAAATCGATCCTAACGAGTCTTTACAACGTCATTTTCTCTTATTAAATCAAACACCAGAATATTTTAAGTAAATATAGGTCAAGACGAATCGAATCTACATTCGCGCATCTTGAAGCTTTTGCTATCCTTTAGAGCTGTACCAAATTTAATAATAATTCTACTATTATTTACACCTAGATTTTATTTCTTCACTCAACTGACTACCACATTATAAACTCTATTAATACAAATACTACAAAAATCTATTAGTATCAAAAAAATACGTCAAATGATACTAATAAATTAACTAGTTATATTATTATATTATTATCATTGTACGCGGCTAATTCCATTTCGTTCAGATTAAATTACTCTGCCATTGTGGCAAAAAGTTGGAGCAAACTGAGTGAAAATATTAACAATTGTTATTAATGCACGTGGAAATACCGTCTAAAAATAGTCGCATTCAGCGGTGGAATATATGAGGAAAATTCGCCAGTCACCGAGGAAAATCCGTTCGACGGTTATCGTGGAAAATCGTCGCCGTTCGTAGCATTTCAGAATTCCGCGCCAATCCTGGAAAGCTGGATCAATATGACAGTATCTCAGAGGGCGTACAGCACAAATACTAGTCGAGGCTTACGTACCGAGCAGTTACCGTGTTCCAGCTATTTAATCGGGTCCATTTTTCGTACTCGAAGTAGGCTCGTTTTCCAGATTATGCCAGTAAATCTCGCCGAGTGATCCCATGCTGAATGTTCTTCGGACAGCCGTGTTCAGTGCATTAAAGTGTATTAGGTGATGGACGTGGTTTCTGGGACTGCACGTTTATTTAAACATGAAAACTTTGTTTGGTAATTGCAAATAATAAGTATTTTAACTATAGATATAATGTTAATTATGATCAGATTTTTGTTCTTTGGAAAAAATTAATTTATTCCTTAAATAAGCTAGAGAGTTACTCTCTAGAGTGAATCAAGTTAATTGAGTAATTGAATAATAAAGTAGTCGTAGCCTTACAATACTTAACAATATTATTTTATACCTAGATGAAAATTTTTGAATGTTCATGTAATTTTCTCTTCGACACGCTATAAAGCGTGATGGTGTTGCCTTCATCCATAAAATGTTCAGTATATAGATGATTAATCTGCTTAGTATCCACTCACTAGCAGTGTATTTGCCTAATTTTTGAAATCATTAATCACGATTTAGTCGGCTCCTTCTATTTTGAAATTACATGTTTGAGCAGCTATTTGAAATAACGATCCCCGTGAAGAAACTCCATTTACTGTAGATTCAAATATCATTCTCCCCTAATGATTAATCGTGCAGTGATTTACCAATAAAAATTTTATCAACATAATTAGTCGCATGTCACATATCATTTACCTGATACGTTCGCCTGTACATTTTATAGGAGCACTTTTTTACAATAGAATTTAATAACGTTTTATTCCTCATGTCCTTTCACGATACTGAACAAATAACAACAAAGGTATCGGTCTCATCGCTTATAATCGCTTTCTTTATGTCAATATTGGATCCTTCGACCTCCCGCTGGTTTGATGTGTTGTTATTTTTTTAGAGTAGACAGTTTAGGTGAATTGTATTGTATGTTATGAAGGTAGTTTTTTATGATTTCTTGCTAAAAATAACTGGTTGGTACGCGATGCTCTAAATCGGTCTAAAGATAGAGATTTAATATAGAGCCAAATTTAATATTCATTCCTAGAGTGACGCTATTAGCATGCTTGCTGATAAACTCACCTTGAAGAAGAGGTTACCCCATATACCGGTACAAGTAATATCGAATGAGCTTAAAGGCTTTTCCATAAAGCTTGTTGAAACTTTATTAATATAGGCACACCCAAATGCTGGTACAGCAGCGAAACCCTAGCAACAAGTTCGTTTTAAATAACCTCTTCGAACCTACCTACCTATATTTTGCGTTCGGAGCAACGAATTTTTGGGCGAAATCAAAGGAGGTAGCGAAACTTTGAGTGAGTGTAAGTTTTAAATGGTTGCGTAAATTAATAACGGAAGGATTTCCAGGGAAAAGTTTATAAACTTGGGAGAAAACGTTTACACACGTTTTCAACGATGTAAGAAGTTTAACAAGACTTCTGAAGGAAAATGTGACGTGTTTACCTTGCGAATTTGTGTAGCATCGATCGCTTTCAACGAGCCGGCACTTATTTTACTGCATTAGATTTATTTTTAATACCCACTCGCTTCTATGGCAGATTTTTGAACCGTTTGTGTGGGTATACTCGCAATCGTGGTAAAAAACTATTTGCTATTTTCTAATAAGAAATTGCTCTTAGATATGGCTTAATATTATTATAAAGAATTTGTTTATTTCATTAGGTGTAAAAATTAACGAAAAATATATTTGGATGTGTTAATAATAGGTATTTAAATGCGGTTTTAGGCTATTATATTTCTTGTACAGTATATTGAACCATTAAAACAGGAATCTCTATAGTATATTTTTAATATTTTCTTGTTCGTTTCAGACAAACCGGTAATGAGGTTAAGTTAGCTGGGAGTATGGGACCGCCGGGATGGGCATGTGTACAAACCCAAGGGGCAAGTCTCGTCCATTGACCAACACTACGGTACCGGTGCCTCAACGCTCTTTTACTTTATATACTATCCTAACTGCCTTACTGACTTTCGTCTTTTTACAAACAGGTTGGTATTTTTTCTAAACATACTACTGTGACAAAAGGGTACATGGAAATTTGGAATAAAACGCAAAATTCCTAACCTTCATTACTATTTCTTGAGTGTTTAACGAGCGGTTTAACGAGAGATGTTGAGCTAACGTGATACTTCTCTAATACTAGCATGATGATTTTCGAATTCAATTTGCTTCATTTTCTCGCCGTTATCATTGGTTGAAGGGGTCGAAGGCATTCCGGAACAAGGCAAACCTTTAGCAATCTCCCGAGATTCTTTAAAACAGTTTTGTACCATTCGTAAGTATGGGTTTTCGATAAAACAGAGTCTCCTCGAGCATTTGCATCGACTGGGCTCACGTTCAAAACCCCAAATATGAGACAAACTCTTTTGTTTATTATTTTTATCAATTGCAAAATTCGCAGAGCACTATTGAGATGAACTGTTTCAATCAGCTGCTACAACCAAACTGATTCGAGAAATCTCTCCAATTTTTTGCATGCTAATAAAAACACTGTTACCTACATACAGAAACTTGAAATAATTATAAATATTAAGTGCAGGTAATTTAAGTCAAAATTTCCGGGTACTTTTTTGTCAGAAGGTATAACTATGCAAATTGAACTAAAAAAAGACCAGGACAAAGAAGCCCATTGTGGCCGTAATTTGCATGCATGATTTGAATGATGATTATATTGTTGCAGTTCACTGTATTCAGGATGCAGTGCACATCACAGCAATACTCGGTGAGTCGGTGGTTTTCAATTGCCACGTGGAGTTCCCTGAGGGACACCCCGTGCCATACGTGTTGCAATGGGAGAAGAAGGTAGGCGAAACGGTAGGATTTCACAACAACTGCTCTCTCTTACTGTTTGACATTGGTGGTCCCCGGTATCGGTGAAAGGGCTATGTAGGAGCCCCGGGTTTGGTCCTTGCGGAACCGCGTAGTTTGTTTAACACAGTAGTTTATTTGTTATCTGTAAGGATAATTTTGAGATAACTGCGGGGATCTCGAAGTTAGCCTTTTTCGTTAGGTTTCGCAAGGTATTTATTTCTATTTAGATAATGTGGAATGTATAAAATTTATCACAAAATTTAGTAACGCGGTTGTTTATAAAAAATTAAATAACTTAAAATGATCTATTGAGAAATATTGTTTAATGAACAATTGCTTTTGTAAAGTAATGCTTTTCTGCATTTGGCATTCTTAATCTGCATTTTCAATTTAAATTTTCTTTACGAGTCGGCAGGAGATTATTTCATTAAAGATAGTTAAGATAAACGATTTTCGCAAAACAGGCTGTGGCGACAGATTGTAATATCACAATTTGCAGATCGTCTTCATTGAAATGATAAATTATATCCGTTATCCTGATGTTGAAACATCGATTTTCCTTAAACTGTTTTCCTCCGTCCTCCGTCTCCAGAATCAATTTCGGAATTATCAGTTTCATTATACATCGCGAACTAATTTCAGCGTTCTTGTATTTTATTTTAACGGCCCCGCCTCTCTTATATTGAGCCGCTTTTGTTCCATATTGCTCCCTACTTGATTGTCCTTAAATATTACTTTTAAATTTACCCTAAATTTTCTTTCCCTGCCTTCGTTTACTAATTTATGCTAATGAATTGGTATTTGAGTTACGGGTCCATAAGTATTTCTTATTTTTCGTGTATGAATTATTTTCTTTAATCATATTAGTTACAAAAAATTGGTGGTTGATTATAAACGGATCCACCATTTCAATAATTAAATTTCCTATTATCTAAAAAATCTTATGCATTCTATCATTATCTATATGTATAATTTTTATTGCAAAACTAGATAAATATTTTTTAATTAGAAGGTGTCAAAAGTCGCAGTACCGACCAGACACTGCAAAAATTTCATTGGTTTTATTTTAATTGTCTTTTGGCCATAGCGTTATTTACGATTCTTTTAGCTGGGGATACGGAGAGCGAACCGAAACGTTTTGTCATCATTTTCATGTGGAATTTACACATATTTCCTGGGAAACTTTTGTGTGTTTTATGGTGAACAGTTTTTTAGTTCAAAATCCATTCCGTTATTCATGTTCGGTTTTATTATTGCTGTGGGGTTGATGTCCATTGAAATTAACGTATTTAACATATTTTGACTGGGCATTTGTTGACATTGTCTGTGTACCTTCTGTTTTAATGCAGAAATAATAACATGAAATGAAAACTTTTATTCTAAAGCATTACTAAGACTGTTACTCCATTATTTTTGCTTCTTGATAAGGTCCAGATTAATTTTATATTTACATACATCAGTTTATCTTTTTATTAAAATATTTGGGGATATTTATAATTTGTAAAATTGTTATATTTTGTATCCAATCTAATTCAAAGGTAAAAATGTATTTTATTGCATTTCGAAATATGTCAATTATATTCAGTTTGTATAATTGGACAATTGCAAGTAAACAAAAGTTTGATAAAACATGAAATAATTCAAAAATAGAATTTCGTTTGTTTGCTGAATTTTGTATAATTTGATTTCGAATTGATCGATAGGTTTATTTAAAATTTTTAAAAATAGCAAATTGTTTATTTTGTAAAGCACACAAATGTTTTATACTCATTTCTTCATCAGTTTCTGTTAATGTTATTAAGAAAAAGTATACGCAATTAATGTTCCTTTTGCACATCAACGATATATTACACTTTTTGCTTAAAGCAAACAACCTTTAAACTATACAAACACAAAATAAAATCACTAGTACATAGTTTGCTGTAAATACTTTTTTAATATTTAACATTCATGTGTATGTATGTAGGTACTTTTATATGAATTCAAAATTTATCTAGAAAATTAAACTTATTTTAAATATTTTGTCTTCATAATATCAATTTAACTAGTGATTTTTATTCAACTTTGTTACAAATTTTGTTACAAATTTTGACACAAATTCAACTTTGCATTACACGAGAAACTGTATGTTATTACTAATTACTAATATACGTATTACTTCTGCCTCTCTCTATCTCTCTATGGTTGCTTTATTGTGGCGTGTGTTAATTTGAACAAGTAGAACTAACAGATGCAATTGCAGTAGTAATTGGAAAAAGTGGTTTAATTTTATGTTTCTAGTAAATGGCGATTTTTTAAATTTAATTGGAAGTAGAAAAGTCTAGGTTTCACCATGAAGCCGTCAGTAACTACCTTCATTTCATATATTATTTATTACTTATCGAAAATGTTGAAAATATTCCTTTTTCTCGAGGAAATAAAACTCAGTAATCGTTTACTGTAAATAGATACAAAATAAGGTTTTTCTATAATACCTCATTATTACTTATCGCAATCAATTTTTATCGAACACTATCCTCATTTTTTCGAAAAGCCTCCTACCTGTTGATGTACACTAATCCATTCCCATTCCGACAAGACGAAAAGGAAACGAACGAACAAACAAACAAATTTCTACAAGACATAAATTCAAAAAGAGCCCTTTATTCCTTTGACCAACCCAAACTGTTATCAGTAAATCTTGTCGAGTCCCCTGCGTCCAATCGCCATTTGCTAACTCCGGGGACCTTTCTCTTCTCGAAGTTCATCCCGCTTATTGAACAGGAAGGTCCCTGATTAAAGGTGATCCCGTTTAATTGACGGCTGGAATTAGTGCTCGCACGATTCGATTATACCTATAACATAAATAAAATCGAGCGAATTCGACTGGAACGCTATGTTTATATTTTTTTGTCCGCGTCTAATGGATTTTTCTAATCAATTAGACGACGTATAAAGGGTTAAATTGGAATTTTTTTGTACTTATCTAGAGAGATTCGTTTCAAATTCTATAGTAGTTCTACAAAAATAAAACCACTTAACTGCAATTACATATAAATATAATTCCGCACAACTCGCAGTTTGTTTTTGCGTTAATTTTTTGCCGTTTCTCTCCACATCCCTTCGGTGTCTGTTGCGTATTTAACTCGCTATCACCATGTTAGCAAATTTGTAAATCCTTTCATTATTTTGTGCGGAATTGTATGGCATTGTTTGCGTTCAATATAAAGTTTGGAAAATGCTTTTGCTTCAGCTTTTCGTAGATATTGTGTGTGTTAATTAAGGGCCTTTTGTCGGGCGTTACCTAAAATGACTTTAATCTCTTTTTAGTGGATCTGTAAAAAATAGGTCTGGCGATACACCTGCTATTTTGCAGTTTTATATTTACATACATCTAACAGAAAATTAACAATTATTGAGGATCTCTTAGATTAATTACTATTACTATTGGAAAGGATTAGACCTAATAGTAATTTCATATGATAATTATTGTTTAGAGTGTACCGATTGATGGTAAAGGTTAATTTTTAAATGTTTAGGCATTACTAGATTTGAAGATGGTACTTGTAAGTAGTTATTACACTAACTGTAGAAGTAGATATCTATCTCAGTATCAATTTATTTGCGATTTTAAATGATTTATCTTGGTTAGTATACCTCTATTACTACTAAAATTCTAACAAAGCAGATTTGATGAAAGATGATTTACGGATCGAAACAGGTGTACTGGTTATTAAGCATGGTTTTCTCGTGAAATTTTAGACTGTACTTAACCGCAAGCACCTGTATCCCGGACGGTGAATTTTCTGCGTTGTGCTCCAATTTTCTTTGTCGTTGTTTTTTTTGTTAATTCGAGAACATGTATTCGACAAAAACACCTAAAACGTAGTAAATAATTTATGCAAGAATCCATGAATAAATTCATAATATTTTCTAATTATACTATGATTTCATTGTTTATTTCTTTAATTATTTCAGTTTATGTATAAATAATTCTGAATATGTTATTATGCATATCCGATTGAGAGGTAATGCAATATTAAATTACACTTTACTTTGTAACTTTGTATGCAAAACATTGGAGAAAAAGGAGAAATTCTGCTGAAAAATGAATACCTAAACCTCCAGTTATGGTCAATGAACTTGTAGATGTTCAATAACACAGTGGTTAAATAACAACACTACCTATTCCAAGATATTTGTAATGCATCGATTCCGTAGATTAGTCTATAGGAAATCGATTTTTTCATTAGTTCTGGATGATTCTAATTTTTCACGGTATACAAAGCTATTGAAACTTAGTTTTGGTAATTCGAAAAGTCGAATTCTTGCTTTTGTAAACTAGGTAATTTACCAACTCTTACAGGAATTTAATCAATAATCAATATGCGGGTACATGTTTACTGTGTCTTACATAATAAATAAAAAGTCTCTATACAAAAGAGTATCTACTGCCAAGATAAATCGTTACATTCTTGAATATCTGCCACACCATCAACTTTAATTAACTACAAGTCATTCGTTTATCGATGAGATTAAAGTCATTTTTTTATTCGTGTATATAGAAAAGCAGCGCCCTGATTGAGTACTTTTTAAAGGGACAAGACATACCTATCTATATTTGGTATGAAAGTTACCCCACCCACAGCGGTGAAGGGTACGAAGGAAGGGTGTCCAGGGTATCCCCGGACTCGCCTTACGGAGCTGCTTCCCTCAACCTCACCAACATCAAAGAATCGGACCAAGGATGGTAAGTCGCCATTAAATTTATATACTTTTAAATAACTACTTAAATATCCTTAGGTATGAATGCAAGGTCGTGTTTCTCAACCGTCCTCCCAACCAGCCGAAGAATGGTACCTGGTTCCATCTGGATGTGCATGCACCTCCCAGGTTCTTAGTGACTCCCGAAGATATTATCTACGTCAATCTTGGGGACGCCATTATACTAAATTGCCAAGCAGAAGGAACCCCAACACCTGAAATACTCTGGTACAAAGACGCCAATCCTGTCGAAGCTTCTTCCACCATAGGTGATTTGGAATAGCTGAGAAAAAATTCTGTAATTTAATAAAACTGTATTTTTTAAAGGTATATTCAACGATGGAACGGAATTGAGAATATCAAACATCCGACATGAAGATATAGGAGATTATACCTGCATAGCGAGAAATGGAGAGGGTCAAATATCTCATACAGCCAGAGTTATTATCGCTGGCGGAGCCGTAATAATGGTAAGAACAATCCAAATAAATTTACCCTATTTATTTCCTCTATCACTGCGCATAATATAATTTCGAATCCAGATATAAAAAGGAACGTTTCTCTTTACCGAATATATACTTTCTATTTCGAGAGAGTCGATGAAAAGGCAATTCAATAACTGCCCTTTAATAAAACCGACGGTTTATTACCGTCGGCCGTAATAATTTTCCTTTCCGCATTTCGGCGTATCATTAAAACGAGCGATCATTTTCCAGGTTCCCCCGACCAATCAGACGAAACTCGAGGGCGAAAAAGTGCAATTCAACTGCGAGGCGAAAGCTCAGCCCGGCAACGTGACCGTAAAATGGTTCAGAGAGGGCGCGCCGGTCAAAGAATTGGCTTCTTTAGAAACGAGGGTCACTATCAAGAGGGACGGTTCATTAGTCATAAATCCGGTCAGCTCCGAAGACTCCGGTCAATACCTTTGCGAGGTGAGCAACGGAATCGGGGAGCCGCAGTCCGCATCGGCCTATTTAAACGTCGAATGTGAGTTGATCAGTCATTTTTTTTTTCCTTTGGAATTCTTTCAACTACAGTTTATATCATTTTAATCTTAACTAACTTTTCGAGACTAATATAGATAAGTAATTTTTGTATATATCCAGATCCAGCGAAAGTAACTTTCACGCCTACGATTCAGTATCTACCGTTTCGATTAGCTGGCGTTGTGCAATGTTACATCAAAGCAAATCCACCTCTACAGTACGTTACTTGGACGAAAGACAAACGGCTATTAGAACCTTATCAGACCAAAGACATAGTCATCATGAACAACGGTTCTCTGTTATTCACCAGAGTGAACGAAAATCACCAGGTACACTCTCTTATCTTTCGATTAATCGCGCTGTTTTCACCGATATTTTTCTGTTAGGGTCGGTACACGTGCACTCCATACAACGCTCAAGGCACGCAAGGAAGCTCCGGTCAGATGGAGGTTCTGGTAAGGAAACCACCCACTTTCATCATCGAACCGGAGACCATGTATCAAAGAAAAGTCGGCGAATCCGTTGACATGCCGTGCGAAGCCGTCGAAGCCGAAGGTACACAAAAACCAACAATCCAATGGCAAAGAAGAGACGGTAAGAACACCGAAATCTCTTAGAACAGTTCGTGCAACGACGAATCCGTTTTCAGGCACTCCTCTGCCGAAGAACCGCGTGAAACTCATCGGAGGAAACCTAACGCTGGAATCGATCCGTCGATTGGATTTCGGTTTCTACCAATGCGTCGCCACCAACGAAGTGGCCACGATCATCGTGGGCACGCAGCTAGTGGTCGAAGGTACGCAACCGCACGCTCCTTACAACCTGACCGGCACGTCCGCCGAGTTCTCCGCCACGCTGAGCTGGCTGCCCGGCTACAGCGGCGGCCCCGACTACAAGCAGGACTACACCATTTGGTACAGGGAGGCGGGACAGACGGAGTGGTCGACCATACCCGTCACGCCGTCCGGTAGTACTCAGGTCACCATCAATCGGCTGGCGCCGGGCACTTCGTACGAGTTCCAAGTGATCGGTAAAAATGCTTTGGGCGATGGGATGATGAGCAAGATTATCAATCTGAGGACTGTTGGTGAGTGATTTGGTCGGGTGCAGGGTTTATGTTAGGATGCTAATTCCTCTTACTTTCTTCTGTTTGGTGCATTGGTAGAAGTGGGACAACAAAAGCCTATAAAAATTACCCCTACACCCTTTATGACTCCAAACGATGATGCGGGTAAGAATGCTTACTTATCATTCAAAAATTTTTGGAAATTGTATTTAAGAAAAATGCATGTGTTATTTTTCCACTATAATCGCATATTATTTAAAAAAGCGCTGAATTTTTCATCCTACTACATTCTACTATAACTACCACGCTACTTACTATTTATGATTTATTTAACATTATTTTCCTTCTGCTTCATCTTAATTTTTAAGTTTCGTTAATAAAATAGAAATTACAAGGTATCGAAAACAAGGTCAGTGTCCTAATTCCAGCACATTTAGTGACACCTTGTTTAATAAAGCAAATTTGAATAATTGTGTACCTTGTACGTAAATGTTGTGTTCGTGTGCATGAAAATCCACATGTGGTAAATAATTTACTAGGACCAAAACCAGGCATACCCCGAAACCTGACAGTGAACGAGATCAGCAACGGTTTCCTCATCACATGGCAACAACCGATCGAGAGGGCGGAACTGATTCAACACTATGTGATTAAATATAGAACTGACGGACCTTGGAAAACCTTGAACAAAGCTCAAATAAGGCCCGAAGATACTCATTACTTAGGTGAGTATTTTTTGTTCGTTGTTAATCGCACACAAAAAATATTATTGTGTTAATTGCAGTTAAGAACCTAGTAGGAGGCCGCACCTACTACTTCCAAATCCTAGCGTATTCTGGAAAGAGTTTCGAAGCCAGCGAGGAGGTGAAATTTTCTGTGCCAGCTCGCGTGAAGCACAAAGCTCTCACTGCCGGCGTCGTCGGTGGTATCCTCTTCTTCATTGTCGCCATCACCCTATCCGTTTGCGCAGTGAAAATATGCAATAAACGAAAGCGGCGGAAACAAGAAAAAGGTGATTGTCAATTTATTATTTTATTAATGAATTTTATTGATTATATTTTTGCAGCTTACAATATGGTAGCCTGTCGAATAACTGATACCAGAAACGGAGCGAATGCAACGGAGAGTCAAGTGCCTTTGAAAAAGTGAGTGTGAATTCCATTTTATTTCTTATTCTCGAACAAAACTTCACATCGATTTTAACAATTTCATTTTCAATAATTGAATTTGTGATTTTAAAAATTTGAAATATTTACATACGAGTATTCATTTTTGATTACACAGTAAAATAAATTGCACCTATACTTACTTATCAAATAGAATATAACGAAAACTGTACTTATCTGAGTATTATTATCTCAATACACTATTAAACATTACTCTTTTATTGTATATTTTAACGACGAATTTTATTCTTATGAAACTCGTCATTAAAATTTACAAAAATATTTTTAGTAATAGAAATATAAAAGGTATCTTCTTGTAGGACGGTTGAAACCGAATCGTACCGTGACTATGAGAGCGTTTTCATAATTCCTGGGACAAGTTTAGACACGAACCGTAAGCGTCAGGCTCTTTGATCTCGTTAACGGATGCGATACGAATACGCAGTTAAAAATAATTTTGAGAATTTTCATTTCACTTTGACCGCTGGATCAGCTTAGGTACTATCGCACTGGATAGCGAGACTCTTCTCTAGATACATGTAGAGTGAGGGATGAGCGAGAACTCGTTGCTTATGCCTCACTTAAGTGTGCTTCATTTGTTCCTGGAATGTTCTGATCGGGCCTAGAGGTTCGTTCACTTTTTATTTGTGTAGGTGCATTCGTTCGAAATGATGTTTCTTTATGCGGGTTTTGTTAACGTAATGTTGCAGCAGCTTAATGTTTTAATTTTCACGTGCACCTCATCTCTTTCATCTACTTAATCGTTCTTGTTTCTAAGGAATTTTATCTGTTGCATGATTTACGATTTCAATAAAAAATCTTTTATTTATTGATGTACTATTAAATTTCTTGAATTCGTGAATTGAATTAGTCGATTTGAATCTTAATTATCTGTTAAATATTCAATATGGTGATGAATTTATTAGATATTTTTCATTTGAATTTTTTACGTTACGTTAACATTCCTACCATTACCTATCATCATGAATGGTGTAGATCGAAAAATACTAGTATTTTTTCTACTCGATTTTTTTGAAGAATTTCTTTTATTAGTTCATGTTTGGTGTAAATTTTAGAAACATTCCCTATTCTTAACGAATTTTTTAAACAACTAAATCAACGCCCATTATTTAACAAATCAATTAATTAGGCTCGTTATTTTTTTGCATTACACTAACAATAAGATTTAGAAGGGTCACCTGTACGTTTGTTTAATCATAACTGACACGGTTTTTTTGTATAATTTGTGACTCTAAAATATGCATTTTCTACTAAAAAGTTAGAGAAAATATTAAAACAAAAAATTACTCGTAGCAGTATTTTTGAAAAATATAGAAACCCTTTACTGTGAAAATAAATAGTGTCACTTATGAATAAATTAACAGGTATCATCGCAACATAATTCCCTTTTCAATGATTCGTGTTAAATTCGAGACGAGTGCAAATTAATATGTAGTTTGAAATAAGGGTTTTACGCTGCGAACGATAATATGTATACATGTGACACTACTATACGTCTTATTTCATTGAAAAATGTTTAATTCATGCCACCTGGATCTGCGCAGGAGGAAAAAAGGTGAAGAACTTCGCGGATGTTGAACTGCCCACTCGTCTGTTCGCACTTTCACATGTATTAGCTCTATCTTTATATTTGCCGAGCACAGCTATGCTAATGACACGCTTTTTTCGAGATATATGCATCAAAAAATTATAAATTTTTAAATTTACTGGCCACATTCAGAGTCCATTATGCAAATTTCTTAAAAAGGCGGTGTTCTGTTATTTATTGAGATGTGTAAAAGCTTTTGTCGCAGATTCATTTATATTATTTAGGTGATTTATTCTCGTTTCGAGTATATTAGGAAGTTTTATCAACAGCTGGAATATTACGCAGCATTTTACCTAAAATGATTCCTAATTTCTGCTCAATGTTTGATATTGACGTATTTTTAAATTGTTTTTCTACTTAATATGAAATAAATCGTATCGAAATTAGTAATTAGCTCAACTAAAAGACAGTAAACTGGATAGTTATCGTTAAAATGTTACAATTATTAACATTATTAATTTCGATATTAACTTATTATTGAAATAGTTTGGTAAAAACAAGCACGAGTGTTGTTGAATTTTAGTAGCATGCAAGTGTGCAGCACATTGTCATTGGATGTTCTACCAAAGCATAAATGCATGCGTTGTCTTTTGTTAAACTTAAAAAATTTTCACGATTTTTTCCACGGTAGCTACTCATTTTAACCAAACAATTCAAACAGTTCAAGTACGGTGGAAAAAATCTGTGTTAGTAGGTGCGAAAATACATTGTGATTTTTCTTGTGCAGACTTAGAAAAGGCCGAATACCAGGTATGAGAATGCTCGCCTTCGTCGCAAATTGGATATGGCCGAGAGACCGTTGCCGTTCCGGCAGCCTTTCCAGCCTCACCTGGCATCCAGACTACCTCCATCCGGGTTCCCCTTCCAAATCCTTGGCTCGCATATCGAGGGCCGCGGACGGTCGCTTCGTCCTGGTCGATTCCGTTCTGAGCCTTCGGGCCGACACCCCGTCGAACGCCTCGAGCAGCGACGACGGCGGATTCCTGCCGAGAAGAGGTTTCAAGAACAGAGCGTCGTGGAGGAGGCCGCTCGTCGGTTGCCCCAGCGAATTGAGCCTCCGATCGGACATTTCCGGACAGTCTATTTCCGGTCTACCCGCGTTCGTCATTAGCCAAGGCTACCAGCAACAACCCCTGAAGCACGCCCAAGCGATTTACACTCCGCAAGTCATGTCCAGCAGCCCTGCGACTTCCAGCGGCCTTCTGTTATCGCCCTGGACTCCGATGTATTTCAGTGATCTGAGTTCCGTCAGGTATCCGAGTTCCGGCGAAAGGTCTTATCCCACACCGCCGGGATTCATGCAACTCAAGTCGGTCCACGAGAGGTATTCCCAAGAACTTCCTCCGTTGAGGGCCATACACGAAGAAAGCCAAGGGTTTATTCCGGTGCATCCGATCAGAGAAAGCCCCAGGGCGATTCCGCAGTATCGGCTGGTCAGAGGGTCTCGTTTTCTGCCGCCTCGACACGCGAGGATCGCCAGAAGCGCGCCCGAATTGGACCACTTGGATAGATCGCCCGAAAGCAGGTCGAGCTCCAGCGGCTTCGGAAGCAAAAACACTTCCCAACAGAACCAAAGCCTGCACAGCGGCAGCACTTTCATAGGGTGGGGGTTGCCGCCGTACCGGCCGCCTCCGCCGGTGCCGTCGTCTATGCTGCCGCCTCCGCCGCCGTCCCTTGTCGGGCATTGGCTGGACATCGCCAGTTCCTCACCCTCTGCCTCCGATCACCTTCACAAGGCTGTCGATGTGGGTAGCGTCGACGGGCACTACGAATTCGATCCTAGTACCCCCACGCCCACACCATCGACGCCTACTGGATCTAGAGACGTAGATTTAGATACTTCCGGTCCTGGTCCACCTCAAAGGAAGACCTACAACGTCATAAGAAGCAGATACGACAATATTGATGCGAGAGTACAAGCTATGAAGTTGGAGTTCAACGAATTTCGAAAGAGGCAAGCCAGCAGGAAGCGCAGCCAGGAATTGGAAAGTGCCTGTTGATAATACTGTTTTTTTATATTAATTTTCGCGAGTGCGTGATTTCGAAGTTGTTTTATGATTACGAGACGGTTGGACAACGTGGTAGCTTATTAAGAAAACAGATCGAATTTTTCTTTAATACATTACCAATCAATCGATTTTTTTAAAACATTTACTGGTATTATCTTTATCCAGAGTGAATTATAGTCGGTAATTAATGTTTTGTTTTACTATACAATTTTTTATGTATGTTTGTTTTTTTAATAAGCTCAAAATCGTCGGTTTAGTATCTCAAAAAAACAGTTTTTTGTCGATTTGAGTGTGATATCATAACCACTAAAAGTAAAACGAAAAATGTTCTAAATCTAATAATTGAAACCCAGAACCAAGTCAAGACATTTTTATGATCAAATTATTATTAGTTACACTTAAGGTACAGTAAAATTATAAAAAAAATACTTGTAATAGGTTATTTCAGATTTAGGAATTAAGTATGAGGCTCAATACTTGGATTACGACTGGAAGCTGTGTAAATCCGTTTTATTACCTATTAAGGTTCTAGCAGAACGATTTTGTCTACTTTATTGATAAGAAGCATCTTCTACTCAAACCTATTAAAGCTATCAACAGATTCGTTTAATTCAAGCAAGTTTATATCATCAAATTTTAATTTTGCTTTGTCTGTTGTAACAGTCGAACTAAAACCACGCATAATCTTAACTCTTCATTGAATATTAATAAAACTTGCTCGTAGATGTAAACCTTGTCTCAACTTATTCTTCAAAATTTCTTTCATCTTCAACAAAAAAAAAACGAAATGCATTGCATATTATGTAACGACAAACTAGATGGATCAAAATAACTTAAAATAAAATACGACGTGTGAATGTGCCTAGTACTAAGTATGATTGGTATTTTCGAATTATCCTGATAGATAATAATTATATAATTAAAACGAGCATTTCAACAATGCGCCGGTATTTCCAAAATTTTCTTCCAGTACAAATCCACAGATTTCACACAATACACGCTTGATCGTGTTCGAAAAGGTGATAAGTTCGACGATAAAAGTAGAGAGACTTTTCTGTTAACGTTTAAAGATTTTTTTCAACGTAAATTCGTCAATACAGTCGTCAAAAACTTGTCACTTTTTTAATGAATTCTAACGCTTTAGCGCGGTCTTGATGATCGCGAATAACGGACAATGGCGTGACTGGACGAACTAGCAGAGTCAATTTGAACCTCATTTTCGATCAATTATATATCATTTAGTCACTACAAGTTACGCCATTGTCGTCAAAGAGAGGCTGTTGCGTTTTGTAATATATTAATATAGGTATATAGGATCATATTAGAGGTAACTTGCGTCTTTAGAGGCGAGTCTAGAGCTCAACGTATTGAGCGAATTGAAACCGAACGATTCAAGGTCTGCTTTCATTCTTGCGTTAAACTTTTATCGATTGAATATACATACATATTTTTCATTGTGCCTATTCTTGCTATTTTTTTGTGTTATGTATGTATTGTATTGCAAAATATTTATTGATTTAATCGAGCAGCGTATTGTACCGACCTGGAATCGTTCTTATTATTATCGTTGTTTTATTTTTACGAATAAATACACAATGAAACTATTCGGAGAGATTACCAAATAAACTAGGAGTACATAGGGTCAACGTGCAATAATATTTAAAGCTCTTTTGAGCTGTAGACGATGATAATTGTACAAAAGGGTCTTTTCAATGTTTTGAGGAGTTTGAAAAATTTTCTTTGTACCTTATTGGGAACGATTATCGAGGTGTGTTGAACATGGTTTCCCGATTATTGATTGATTTTTGTATAGAACTGTGATAATCTAGAAGTAGATGCCACATATTTATTAAATGGGAAAAAAACGCCTGTCGTCCAAGACTTAATATTAAAAATAAATAGAATATCCTATTGTCTAATAGTTTATTTGGTATAGGAATGATGATAGCAGTGTTTGTTAACTTTCAACGTTTGTAGAAAATGTTCACTAGAACTGAGGAACTATTTACAATTATCTAAAACAATAATTGATACTAAATATGTACTGAAATGTTATGAAAACGTTTGGAGTTAACCACTCTCTATAGATTATACATAATAATTTTGCTTGTAATTTTAAGTTTCAAGATTTGTGGAATACATTAAATATACATATTTATTCAATGAATAATATATTTAAGCTTTAATTATCACTCTTTTCAAATTTTATACATTAAATTTCTCTTTATATTTTTTTTAAATTAGTTGCATAACTGAATGCATAGAATTTGAAAATTGTAATGTTAATTTATTAATTATTTTTATTATAGAGACTTGCCAATTTTTTGTTATAGTGATATCTGATTTAGTACAATTCATATTTTATTTATATTTTTTTATTTTCGACTGATTTGTAACGATAAGAATTTTAACTAGTGGAACTGAAAATTTGAGCAATTTGAAGAAACCCAAAAATATTTTAGAGCAAACACCACACCGCTAAATTTGTAAAATTTCGAAATACCTAACTACTTATTTTTCCGAAGTTCCTCGTTAGAATTCTTCAAATTCTCAAACTATCTACTAGATCGAAAACGAGTATATTAGGTGATAAAAATTTAAAGTGTCTAGTTGATAATATTGCCTTTGGAATCAATTTTATCAATAATAAAGCGATGTAAAAATGATACCTATTAATTTTCAATTATTGGTAAAATTTTGAAGCCGCAAAAATTAAATTCTTGCCAATGATATTTATTACTGATTAAATAAAAACGGTGACACATTTTTAATAACATTTTGCATCTTCACTAGGCACCTAATATTTTCTAAAAGTTGACAGAATAAGGAACTACCTGTATAATAATTATAATATCATTTCACGAAGCACACTGACGATTTAGTTGTAGAATTTTTTAGTTGTAAGTGTTAAGTAGAAACTGACAGTTGTTACTATGTAACTACGCTGTATAAAGCATCACATCTAACTAAAAATACAATAAAAATGTTGCCAGATCTCTATAAATGTTTTATTTTGTTGTTAAAATACTCGAATTCTATATTGGATATATTCAGTACAAAAAATACATATTTATTAGGTAGGTATTTATTATAAATTTAGAATAAAGTACAGAAAATACGACGAAATAGACTACAAAATATTTACACAATTATTTGGCTTTTAAAATAAAAAAGTTAATTATATTCAGAATATATTAAACCGAGTTTAATTGAAAAATAACATGTAAACCATGTTGAAAAAGAAAATACTATCGGTTCAACCCTTAATTTAAAAATAAACATTTTATTAATATAGAAATTATGTACAAATACAATAAATAACTTCACTGCAACAATTTGTTTCAAAAAAACCGCGACAATTTTGTATTTTTGTTATATTAAAATATTTTTTAAGCTAGACTAGAAAATATAACACCCATAAAACGCACAACATAGAATCATTTAAATTTGTAGAATAATAATTACGTATTACCGAAATATCAAAACGGTTTTGCCACAATAGTACAATAATAATTAGCATAGAAGTATGACTCATGCAATTAGACATTTACATTATTATTAAAAAATGTAGGTTCTCTTAACCAGAAATCTGAATATTCAATAAAAAAAAAATTACTACATAATTTATCTGCTAATAATATTTTAGGTATTCAGAAATCTTTTTTAATAGAGTGTATTGTACTGTATTGTGATGTCTATTTGAGTGGATGGTCCTCTCTTAATAGGACATAAATTATATGTATATTTCCGCTCATAAAATGAACTGTTTGCAACTGTAACAGAAATATTCTGTATTTTTTGGTGAGTATTGCAAACAGTTATTTATATTATACTTCAAGATAGATAACAATTAAAGTGAGAAACACACGTCTCATCCTATTTTAAACAAATAATATCATGTATAAGAGTATAACGTGTAAGTAATATACTAAAACCGATCATTTTGAGGTAAACTTCGCTATTTACATAAAAAAAAGTTTATCGGCATATTTTTAACTGTATAATCTCGTCTCCAATCTAACAAACTGTCCGTTTTAAAATAAATCAGTCGTCGATTACTTGGGCTGATTATTATAATCGACGTAAACTCTCACGACCTCTCCTGAATACTTCCTCTGCGACGGCATGAAGTAGAAATCGGCCGGTTGCATGTTCTCCGGGCCCTGCCTGTAGTGATTCCGATCGTAGACCGTCCTCGGAAGGGAAAACGTGTTGCGATCCATGTTCGAAGGGGGATAGTTGTTCATTCTGGGCCTCTGCAGCGACCTGGTGTCGCCCTGGGGCACGTTGGGCACGCTCGGAGGTCGCGAATTCGGTCTTTGTATGTGCCGTTTGACGGGTTTATTGCTGGTGCCGTTGGTTCCGTTGCCGTTCGCGGTGCTGGGCGGCTTCTTCTCCTCCAAGGTTGCGGTGGAAGGAGTCTCGAAGGCGTCGAAGGCGTAGTTAGTATTGGAGGAGTAGTCTTTCCACGCCGAATTGGGTATCAAGTGGTCCTGGAAACGGTACGGGTTATTACAGCATCACGATCGGTTTGGGGTGTTTCTCAGACTCACCCTCGAACCAAAACAACATCAAAGCATTTATCAATTAGGCCCATGCCGGTAATAAACAGGAGGAGGATAATCAAGCTGCACATTATATACCCGCTATCGAAGCCAAAAAATACCAAAGTTTGAATATTAGACCAAGCACGAAAGCTACCTACTCAGCTAAGCTTTAAAAGGAACTCATGTGAGTTTCTCTAGTTCAAAGAAATAATTTAGGCAATGAGAATTTTAAATATTACTTTTTGTTTTTAAAATTATACTATATTCCGATATTATGAAAGAGAAAAGCTCTAGTCATATTACATTTAGTTTTATGGTAAAAGTGAAGGTACAAACTTGCGTTAGATGCTCTACAAAGTGATCTGTTCGTAGAGAGTAGTCTTATATTATTTTATTCTCATAGAAACATTTGAGTGAATTTTTCTTTTAAATACTATCATTTTAAGAATAAAATAGAACTAGAAGATTTTTCTCATTCATATGCATTAAATACCACACATACCTACTGCAATACTATAGAAAACCTAGAAAACCAGAAAATACGTATGGACACAATTCCTTTCTAAAACCTACTGAACCCTAGCTCAGTTTCCAATAAATCAAATATTTTTTCATCTAAAACAACGCGTTAATACATTTAAGCTACACCAATGGTTAAAAACACAAATAAACTGCTACGTCTCCCCTAAACCAACCAACACAAACAACGAAACAAATATATAGTAGATGTAAGTTTATGAACCTACTTGCTCATGCCTTTGGCTGAGCAGCATTCACAGTGAAGTTACCTTGTGATTGGCCGACGAGCGACTCCTGGTCTTATAAATGGTACAACCGGCTTGTACAATGGCAACGAAGGCTAAGGCCGCTATGCAGCCCAACACAATGTAGAGCTTCGCCTCGGTTAGGTTGAAGAAACCGTTATCGTTGGAGCTCGTTGTCGATGCATCCGGTATCAAATTGGAAGTCACTGTTAGGCACACAAATTGAATTATAAGTAGATTGATTTGAGAATAGCAAGAATGCAAATCAGAGAGAAAATATTGCTCAATTTCAACAATTACTGTACTTATTAAAGATATTTTAGACATTTGATAAAAGTGTATGTTGGACAAGGTACTTACGGCTTTGAGGTTCGAAGACGAGGAACTGGGGATCAAGTTTCAAATTGCCCACCCTGCCGGAACTGACGCTGTCTTGCAGAATTTTGTGCACTTTTTCGTCCATTTCTGAAGCGTCTTGAGTTAGCGATCTGCCTTTTTCGGTAACGGGCTTCTCCAATTGCAAATGCATCGAGGCCACCAAGTTATTGTCATCTCTAGAAAAAAAAAATCGTTCAATTGCATTCGAAAATTTTTCAAGCGTCTTCAAGCGTCGGTGAAAAGCAGATTTGTAATGATTACTAAAAAATTTGCTTACGCGTTATCAATCTTATCTAGTACTACCCTCCTGTAACCGGGGAGTTTATTGAAGACAGGTGCGAAGCTGTTTTCAATGGAATTTGAGAGTTCTTCGTATTGCAACGTTCCCTCTTTAGGGACGATGAAATTTTCTCCTAGATCGATCAATTTCACTTTCACGTTGTAACCGATTCCGGGAGCTTCGGTCGAAGTTAAATAATCGTCGAAACTGTCATCTAAAAACACATTAATTAATTAAACATCTACTTACAGGATTACATTTAATAAACTCACCATTTCCACAGGATTTAATGCAAATCCTCGCCGTAGAAACTGTTGGTACCACTTCGTGCTTTCTGATTTTCTTATTGACGCTATTGAACGCTCCTCCTCTCACCGGGAACATCATGAACAAACATTTGTCGTCGGTGAACGAGAAATCCTTAGGATCGTCGGTGGTTCTCATCCTCGTAAACGACAGTTTCGTAACGCCGTTAACAATCTGCCCTGAAGTATTGAAAATATTTTGAGACATATCAAGCAACGGTTGAGTGTAGCCGGAGATCCAGGTGTCCATCAAAAAAGGCCTGCCAGTCTTGTCCACCCATCCCAAGATCGCGTCTGTTTGAGACTAAAAAAATAAAGTTACTATTAAATTAATATGCGTATGATGGTAAGATGTTGGTACTACCATTCTTTCGTTATCGGAAAACGCGATTCCCGTCCACGTGTCAGTATGCTTGGTAGTTATCGTGAATTTGATGGCGTCCTTACGCGGTATGAGCTCCCATTGGGCGGAGTACTCGCAGGTGAAATTGTCCGGATCGCAATTGCGCGGTACTTTCCATATGCCCCCGCAATCTCTAGTCTCGGCGGTGTCGCTCGTCGCCACCGGACCGGCCGCTTCCACTTGCTTCTTTTCATCTGGAACAAAGGTTTCATTCAAAGCGGAATTCGAATTTATATAATGTTGAAGGTCGTACCGAAGAAGTTCAACGAGATGACGCCCCTTTGTTGCTGGTGGCCGTGATATTTGAGCTCGTCTGGTTTGTAAAAATCTTTGATTTTCGCTTCGGCCGATTCGACGCCCGATTTGGGAACGTGCACGTATTTGCCCTGCTCCTGGCCCTGCGCGAATATCACTTGCATCAAGTCGTTCTCTATGGAATGATCGGAAGGTTCCTTTGCTTCCAGCTTTTTCCTGAACAGGATCGTCGTTACGCCGTCCTGAATGTAAATTAGTAAAAAATTGCGGTTGATTATTTGAGTAAATATTTATACCTTTTCGAAACCTATGGCGGTGGTTAAATCGTTCTTGCCGCCCCAGAAGGAATCCATCCTGGGCGTTGATCTGTCTCGAGTATAATAGTCTGCAATCCTGCTGTTATTGCCTCTTGCGCTACCGATAACCATATCGGTGCAATCCATGGGATTGAAATCGTGGCGTGGAGTAAACGGATTTAGGTGTTCATCTTTCGCTATTGAAAATTTTTAATGGTGATATTATCATCAAACGGAAGCACGAGTTAGTTAATTATGATAATGACCTCCGAGTTAATATTCTTTAAGTTGCTACTTTATACATACGAGTACTGCTCCGGAACTACGTGATCATGTTGCCAATTGTTAATATTATAAAATTATTATCGAATGCATATACAGAATTTATAACGAGATTTTTAGTTGTAGATATTATTTGAACTTAAATAAATAACCAACTAACTATCTCTCTGATGGTTTTAATGAGGTGAAGTCTTATGTTAGAAAATATAGCCCCTGTTACTAGTATACTGTCTGTTTACTTCTAATAATAATTAAATAATGGATTTTTGATACTGATTGTGAATAAAATTATTGCCATACCATAAATTACATTTCATTCGTCACCATTTTTTTTAATAAAATGCTAGTGTTTACCAAAAAGTTAGTTGTGTACTATATGATAATTATTACTATACCTGCACTACTTCCAACTGGCGCAACTTGAATTTTTGCGTTTTTTTCTATAATTTTCGAATTTGGTTCTGGTTCGGATTTAGGTTCAGGCTCGGATTTAGGTTGAGGTTCGGATTTAGGCTCGGGCTCTGATTTAGGTTCCGGTTCTGATTTCGGCTCAGGCTCGGATTTTGGTTCTGGTTCGGATTTTGGTTCCGGTTCGGATGTTGGTTCTGGTTCGGATGTTGGTTCAGGTTCGGATGTTGGTTCTGGTTCGGATTTGGGTTCCGGCTCAGATTTGGGTTCAGGCTCGGATTTGGGTTCAGGCTCGGATTTGGGTTTGGGTTCAGGTTCGGATGTAGGTTCAGGCTCAGATTTAGGATCGGACTCGGATTTAGGCTTTGATTCCTTGGATTTAGGCTCAGGTTTTGGTGTTGGCTCCGACTTGGGTTCCGGTTTGGATTTAGGTTCTGGCTCAGATTTAGGTTCAGGTTCTGGTTTGGATTTAGGATCTGGTTGGTGCTTCGGCATAGGTTGGGAGTGATTTTTAGATGAAGGGAGTGCCGTCGATATTGTGGCATTTTGTGCGATATTCGCTTTAGGTTCGGGTTCTGGGGAAGGTACTGGCTCTGCGGATGGTTCAGCTGATGCTCCTTGGGTAGTTGTTGGTTCAGCTGTGGGTTCTGGTACTGATTCTAGAAGAAATTTAAAAGACCAACCACCATTAGTTAGATTATATTACTGGAAATTGCTACGTTGTACTTTGTTGGTGCACTGTTTATTACATGTTTGCTAAATTGTGGTTTTACGTTTGTTAAAGTGCCATGTTAATCGAATTATAAATCTATAGAATTTCTTACCATTAGTTGCTCTGCGTTTGCGACCTGCAATAAAATTAAAATTACCTCTAATAAAAGATAAATTATTTATTTTGCACAACCTTGTTTCCTGCTAACTTGAAATGATACACTGGTCTCAACAACATCATTATGTAGAGGTGTACTTTCTGCTTTCCTTAAAATGGGCCCTTGAGCTGATCTTCTCGAATACAAAGATTTTCTGTATTTAGTCGCTTGAGTGGTTGTTGGTTCTGGTTCCGTTTTGGGTTCAGGTTCTGGTTCAGACTTCGGTTCCGGTTCTGACTTAGGCTCCGGTTCCGCCTTTGGCTTCGGCTCTGATTTCGGTTCCGGCTCCGATTTCGGTTCCGGTTCTGACTTCGGTTCTGGTTCTGAAGTAGGCTCAGGCTCGGATTGAGGCTCAGGTTTAGATTTAGCGGCAGCAACAGGAGTTGCGGGACCGATTTGAGGAAAGTTCTTGCAACTTTTCGTGAGCGATTGAGGCCGCCATCCTAGACCTGCATAACTGGTTCCGTTGACGACCATAACTACTTCTATTTCTTTATGCTCTTTCAATATCCTCCAATAGAGCATAAACGTAGGGCTTAATCTGCGCTCGGTGTATAATTCGAAATCGATGTCGGTAGTCTTTATTGCAGATCCTGTGAAACGAGGGATGCATTTAATCAAAAAATTGGGGCTCTTATATCAATTATTATCTTACTTTTGATACATCCTGGACCGAACCAACCCAATTGACAGTAGCACTGCTGCCTTGGTGATGTTGTACCGCCAATGTTCACGCATTTTCCATGATCACCACAATCGCTATCTTCAACGCATTCGTCTCTATACTGGCATACTTCACCGTAATAGAGTCTGTCGCATTTGCATCTTCCAACGAGATTTTTCCCATGGCCACTGCAAGTTTCCCTAAATTTCCTTCCTAAACGATAATTAGCCGATTAGTTTCTATCAAGTTGAAAATATTTATAACTTACTGGGTACAATATCGACATCGGAGCAGGACCAAAACCTGTAACTCTCTCCCCATTCCAACGCTTGTCTTAACAGTCTTAAAGTGCAATTTTCGCAAGTGAAATGCGAGGGTAACTGGACGTGAAATGATTGAGCCCTGGAATTAATAAGAACGCTTAGCAAAAATACTTTTTTAACAATGATATCAACGTACGTGGCATCATCTGCAACGAATTCTGAGCCTTGTATTGTCGGGGTTAAATCTAGAAGAGGCCGTTCTAATTCGTCTAGTAAATGTATTTTGAATCCTCCCTGTCATAAAAGTAAGAAGATCATTAGATGTATTGTGTTTAGTTAAATTACTAAAGTAAATGGAATTGTGTTACTTATGAGTGGTTCTGCTTTTTATAAAATTACTGATTCTTTAAGATAAAAAGTTTGTTGAAAAATGAAAGAAATTATACAAAGAAAAACAGAAGTATACTTACTCTATGCGGGTATCCTAAGTGCCACGTAACGTTGAATTTACTACCTTCCAATAGGGTAGTTTTTATACTTCCTGAAACAATAAAAAATATACATTTCCTGAAGTTTCACCTCAGTTATAATTCTTAGAGTTAGGTTCCGTGGAAAGATGATCAGAAGTAAGCGTGGGTAATTGGCGCTTATTTAATTGTCAGTTGCACAATAAAATGGTTAAGGAACTGAGAAAAAAGTAATCATTGTGGTTCTGTTATTCCATTCTTTCCGATAATAATGCTTAGGGTCACATGTGAGATCTGATGGTTATATAAGAGAAAGTACAGTCAATGATGTGTTAAAAATAATAATTTATTGAAAAAATTGTTCAGAAATAAATGATTTTAAAGTATGAAATTTAAAAAGTTAAATAACAAAATCTAATTAGAAACAAATTAATTCTTAAAATTAAATTATGGATTTATTTAATAACTAATCCGCAAAAGTATTCATTTCAAAAAAGTGCATATAAATTAAAGTTTATTATTATAATATTACCTATTAAAAATTTCTTAGAATTTGTTCGGAATTTTCTGACATATTAATTTAACTTATAACTAATTATTTATTAATAAAAACATACGAAACCATCTCGTGCCTTTAGGCTATAATTATGAAGCAATTCACTATTAATTCCGAAGTCATAAATTTCCTTCATAATAAATTTTAGGAATTTCGTTAGCTTTCTCCACTGCATTTATCGGTAGCATAAAATATTAGTGTTGTATAACATTACGGAATCCGGGATAGCCTTTTAGTTTTATTTTGGCTTACTCCCATATGCATAGATAAATTAATTCAGCAAGAGCACATATTTACAATTCCTTTCATTATTTCATCGCCCTTTCGTCAAGCTCCGGGTTTAACCGGTTTGACCACTTTTGAATCCTTTTCGCCATCATCCTGAGTTAGAATGTAAACTGCGATTCGCTCATTCCTCTTTCATTTTTGGATCTTTCATATTTGTCATTAATTTCGCCAATACATTAAATGCATTTTTTTTGTCTTCGCGAATCTTTAAAATAAATATCGACCAGCTTGCGGAGAAATTAAGGTCGAACGAGGAAGAAATGAAGAGATTTCTCTAAATGTTTACATATCTCATTGACATTAATGAACGCAGCTTATTAAAAGTGGAAATGCACACTTTTAAACTTTCTAGTTGTATCCAAAAAGAATTAATAATTCTGTACCAATTTTTATTATATCCTCCATAATGTTAGAGTGCACAAAATATATGCAATAACAAACGATGTAAATAATATGACAGATAAATAACCTGTGGTTATTTATCTCTATTTTTCTGTTAATTAAAAGGGGATACAGAACTTTCAATAAATAATATAAATTAAATCGGCTTACTGTATTTACCAGGCACTCTTATATAGGTATTATTAAATTGTTGCATATAATGCAAGGAATGCAGTGTGAATGTGGTCCGTTACGTAATTTAAGCATATAACAGTCAGGTGCATAAATCCACTTCATCAATACCTCTTGTTTTTTCCTCTTTGCATCGAGAGAAATAACTTGATAATGATTAAGAACCGATGACCTGTAGGCATTTTTATAATAATCAAGGTTGCAAAATGTTCTCAGGCTTGCTGTCGCTTTCTACATCCACACTGCGATTTACTTAATCGAAAATGTTCAAAAAACTTAGAATTTTATATTATCATTTCGAATTATACATATTTTTTTGGTTACTTATGTAACAATACTCGAATCTTCTCTCACAATTCTTTCAAAATGGGCTTAACTAATATATTCGCAGATTCTAATCGCTTGTTCATGCAGTTGCAACACTCTTATTTGGATATACAAGATCGTACAGCTTGGCATTAGTACAGAGTGATTTAAAGTAATTGTTTTAAAGCAAACGAAATAAAAAGTAGATTTAAAGCCCTTTCAATTTATCCGCTCTTGATTTATAAAAACAAACTAGTTTGTGGCTGCATTACCAATAAGGTCTAATCGAATTCAGTTTCAGATATCCAGTTAGTAATATTTAACGGTTATAAACAGTTATTATTATTTCTGCTTTCCAAATATGTATAGGTGTCTCAAAATGATTAGGTATGCATGGAAGAACGGTTAAAAATTAACTTTTTAATTGATGAGCACCACGAATTTGTCTTGCAATCATGTACGAGTAGGTAGGAACGTCACCAACACTTCTTGTTCCTACTTGTAATGCAACATCAATGATTAATAAATGAAATCCTTCATTTTACACCCACTCTTGTTGCCTCCTCGGTTTCCTGTGAGTGTTCTTTGGAATTTTAATCTCTCAATGCTGAGAAAACGACTTCAACTTCTCATTCAACAAGAAATAGATTCAGTGAATTAAATCGACTTTCTGTAAGGAAATTGTAAAAACCAGTCGCAATATCATAAATATTAAAAATAATAAAACAAGCAAACAGTGGAGAACTGTATAAAATGACATTCCGTGTACGGTAAATTTTTAATTAGCAACCACAATTAGATACATTACTTAATTACAAAATTGCTTGTAAGAAATGCGTTATTATCGAGCCAAAATCACTGACTTCGGATTCATTACCGTTAAGGAATACGCGAACTAATATTTTTTACGCTAAATACTCGCTCGAATAATACCTACTTATAAGCAAAAGTACTGGATCGAATCAACTTTTGTAAGTACCAAGCAAATCCGCTAGAAATAACCGGCTAAAGGAAGATGCGATCTTTATCATCCTTGGTTTCAACCTATCTCAATTTCATTGTTATAGTAAAGAATGATTCAATAGGATTTATTTATAAGTCTCTAAAGAATTCCATTTGACTTTAATAATGTTTTACAAGGATTTGAACATTGTATACAAACTTCATACAATTTGCAGATGTTTGAAATATACAATTAAATTTGCAGGATGTTACATGCTTTTTTCTACTTTTTTTTCTCTAGAGATGAAAGCAGAAGCATAAGTAAATACCTATTAAGTACTGGTGAAGATTATATTACATTTCCATTAAAATAATGCGCATTAAAGTATAAATAGTGGAAAGTAATGCAACGAGGGAGAACAACAAATATTTTCTATATAAACAAATTACCTAATAGATTCAATGAACTCATTAAAACATGCGTTTAATTATTTTTCATATTACTGAATTATTATATAATTGAATTAGTGTACACGTATTTATTTCTCTTCGTGATTTAATGCGAACTTTCCAAACGAATAGTTCGAATGAAATAGATGATTATGTTGGTTAACCTTTTAATTCCCACTTATTGTCTTTCTTCGGTCATGTTCTGTACTGTTACATGTTCTCAGTGAGTATTTTCTTCTTTAATTGAAGATTATTATTGTTATTTCGATATATTTTCTTCCGTTTTCATGCCTTTCACCTTCGTGTAATTTGTTTTTTAGGAAAAAAGTCTGAAATCTTAATCGTTGCTCAGTCAGGATTTATTAAGTAGGTTCAAAATAAAATTAAATTTGTCGAAAATTGGATTTCGAATGGTCACGCTTGCGTTGTTGGACATTGATTATGTTGTTTCTGTTTTTATTTAATGATTTAGTGCTACGTTTATCATGGTTTGTTTGTTTTGTATAATTTATTTTACTTATGTTTATCACCGCTTTCTGCTCAAAAATTCAGTAGGTGAGCCTATACATTCAGTAAAATGTAAATTTACTTGAACATTAAATAATTCCTCAAGTAGTACAATATACTTAAATTTTCTACTTTTTATTTGTTTAAACATATAAATAAAAATTATTATCTATTTTGAAATTTCAAAAATTTGTATTTACTTAAGTTTCACTATTATTTCTAATAGCTGACGGATAATTACATTAAACAGAAAATTGTAAAAAATAATGAGAAAGTAAACGCATTCCGTTTGTGATTAATAATAATCTTAAACAACCGGAAAGGTCTGGTTAAACTCTTGAGGCCGAGACCGCTATTTGCAATAAAAAAATAATAATAACGTAATCCTGAAGTATGTATAGTCCAAGTCAATTCGTATTTTCTACTAAAGAGTAGATTAGTTTCGCAGAGAAAGTGTCAAATAGCCATTTAATCGTAATTATAGTAGTTAATTTCAGTTATTATTGAATGGGTATATCTACAATAACCGTTTCATTGAATACCAATAACATTGCAGTATCATATGTAACAGAAAATTACCATCCAATTCGAGAAAGGAATCGAACAAAGACTAATTTGAATATAAAGAGTTGTTTGGTAGAAACGTATTGTACATATGTAATCGATCTGACAATGAGTTAAATATTCTTTCTACATACAAATTTATCACTTTTTAAAAGAGGTAGGTTTGTACTAATTCATACTCGTGAAGAGTGAAAGTATTTTTTCAAATCGTAGGTTCAGGTAGGTGTATCCCAAATTATAATAAAGAATGAGGGATTGGGAAAAATTATTAAGAAGGCTGAGGTATTCAAAATATATTTCAATGGCTCAGTATGGGCTATTCAATTTAATTTTAAAAGAGTTGATGATTTTCCCATTTTTACCGTAATAATTTTTAACAAATTTATGTTACAATTTCCTGAAATAAGGCATGCAATTATAAATAAGTGTACGTTTACACTGAAAGGTGAGTTCCTCTCGAGCGGGTAGAAGGTTCTTCAAAACGAACTCATGGTCGCAATACTAATGCAGTAAGTAACCTTTTTAAAGTACATTAAGGATGTTCTAAATAAATAAAATACGAAATGGAAATCTGAGTGTGTAACTACTTATGTATATTCCATTAACAAAAATGAAGAACATACTTTTTGTTTTTTTGTAAATATCTTTGGTAAGTATGAAGTGAATTCGATAAATATGTATTGATACACAGTTATTGAAAATTCTAAATATTCGTGCATTTGAAAATTTACATCAGGGATTTTTTGAATTCCAGAGTTAAAACATAAATAATTCTAATACAAAAATGCCTACTGTATTGGTGTTTTACACCTTTATTACATTGAAATACTATGTTCCTTATATAACAAATTGTTTGTTATTAATATAGGAATATTATTGGTAATCATAAAAATAATTACGTTAATTACGTAAGCCAGTAAAAAACTCCAAAAAAACGACTTTGGAATTAGCTAAATAATTTTAAAATAGAAATTATTAGTGACTTCAAGGTTAAAAGATTTACTTTGTACCACGTAACATGCCATTAAAAAAATTTAATTAAACGAGAATTAATCAATGAGCTCATTTTTATTTTTCCAATTCAATTATCGCAGTCGATTATTTCAAAAAAGAAAACATAGAAAGGCCATTAAAAATCTACAGATATTATTTATTGAAAACGTGTAGGTACGTATTAGTTTCTATAAAGGTAAACAAATAATTATTCCACTTTCCAGTTAATTCTTCAGGTAAATAGAAGTGTTCTATAATCGAATTTTCGTAGAAAAACAGTTTCATAACCGCCAAAACCAAAATAAACGATCGAAATAACAGGAGATCTACCATGAAATTATCGAATTATAAAAAAGACCATTACATATTTTTTCCCTAATTAAAATTTATAACCCAGTTAGAGGAACAACGTGTTGCAATTTTAGAAATTGTGCCACACTACAAGTTACTCTACTCGCATTTCTAATGAATTTTAAATCTTGATTTGCTTTTTGCTTCGATCCGCAACGAAATCGCCGACTTTATGCATGATAGTATTCGGAATTGTTCCAACCCATGTGAACGCATTGCGAATCATTTCCAAAAGGAAAAGATAACAATTTGAAAATAAAATATATTCACATAAAGTCAACAGTCAATCCACCTTTTATTTTTGTTGATTATCCAGGGTGTATCTAAATAACACCGAAAAAAATTAAGGGGTGATTCTGTGATGAAAATGAAGGTGGGTACTTGGTAAATTTTTTTAATCCCTTTTTGAGGGAATAAACTTTGGGAATATTATTTGTCAATGGAACTACATGAAAGTAACCTATACTTGGAAGAGGTTGAAATGGTTATTATAACCCGTAAGACATTTTTCATACAACTTCTTTTTAGATAAATATACAGTTATAGATACAATTTATACAATTAATATAAGTTCATAAATTAGATATGGAATAAATTTTAAAATTAGATGTATTCATTGCTGCTCTAGAAATGTTTTCGCAAAAATCAAGGATACCTACTTTATTTGTTCAGATTCAGATACTAATCTTATAAAAGTCTTTTCTTCATATTGTACATGTCGTAAGTGGCAAGACAAATAACAGTCAGGTTAGAGGAATTGATTACAAATACTTATTTACTAATACATATTTATCATAAATAATGGATTTGCCTCATTAATTTTCATTATTTTGATTGCCTAACACTTCTTTTAAATCGAAAAAAAAACACACATGTTCGATAGAGTGCATTTTTAATTACAATGAAATGTAAGCACCTATAATGTTATTGGCGGTGTGGTTATTTATTTATATGTAAGTATACAGGATGAACCTTTTCCAATCTTGTAAAAAATATATAGGTATATTCTTATTACGATTTCATTTTTACTTTTGACCAAATTTTGAGTAGTTTATCAATTGATTCAGTATTATGGATACACCTGTTAGACACTTTCTAATAGATTGAAGAAACCAAACACTTTCCTAACGTTTAAGATGTTTTTATTAATTTTCGTGGATACCGATGTGACAACAATTCAGCTTCAAATGGGTGTTTGATTTGGAATTCCTTACCTTTCGGCATTCCACATGGTGGCTTCGTCCGCGAACTATCCAAGAAATCCAAATCGTACTTTCTAGCTGGCGGAAACGTCAACGCCACATGTCCATTAACATCCAGAATCCAAATGCACAACACTAGCGCCAAACAGACCCATGTTTTGGGCGGCCAGAGCGCTCCCATTGTTGATTTGGAATAAACACTAAACACCCTGTATAATCATAACAGTAATTACGAATAATGTTCACCGGTACATAGCACTGTAAGAACTAGCCGCTGAAAACCGACATACCTTTTGCTCTCTCCACTTCCACTCTTCGAGAGTAAGAAGTACCAGAGACGTACTTGTTATTGGGTATTCTGTATAGGTATAGCAATCGGTGGTTTAAAGACTCGCGTTATTAAATAACTGTTGAATCTTTAACTAATGCAAGTATTCCGTTAATTATTTGTTTTTATGCCCTTGAAACACCTAGTCATGTTGCCGTAAGATTATTGGCGAAGAGGAATTTGAAATGTGGAGTCAACCAGGAACCATGAGTTAAAGTTTTGGATATATTTTAATTTATTCATAGAATATGATGAATATATTGATTTATTTGTCAAAGTCACCATTCATTGAGATAGTGTTAACTAGGCAATAAATTTTATCTACCACTAGTGAAAGATAAAATAGTTTAGTTCATTGTCAAACAAATATTCATTTTATTAGTTAACCATTAATTCCATGAACTTCTAGTGTCTCATGCTTAAACAATAAAATTTATAATAAATCATTTTTTATTTTCTATTTCTTCCTCTTGTCTTCTCTACTATATTCTTCAATACATTCACACCGTGGTTTGTCTGAGTACCATCTAATTTTGTTATTCAATATCTAGCAAAGATTTCCTGCATGGAACAACCTACCTAAAGGTACATTAACAATAATTTTCCAATTGATAACTATATTTAACGACAAATATCGGTTAAAAGGTAAGGAGAAAGCTCAGTCCATCACTGTGAATACCATCGACGACGTAGGTAGAGGTGAGCTGGGTACGTCGGAATTTTACCTTGAGGTACTCGTTTTGTAAGGTGTTAGTTTATTTATCCTTTAGCCGATATCAAAGGCAAATCAAAGGAATTTATAACGTTTTAAGGGGTAATTAAGGTATAATTATTAAGGACATTAGCGAAACGGGTCATTAGAACAGTAATAATTAAAATTAGACAAGTTTATTACCACTTCATACACATAGTAGGTACTCTTGCTAAAGCTATTAAAATACTAAGTATAATATTATTGTTAAAAAATAAATAGGTATACCTGTAACTTTAGTTTAATCATCTGGATAAGCTTATGAGTGAAGGTAAGTTTTTAAAGTGGATGCAACAATTAAAATTAAAAGACGTGTATTTTGTAATGTCGAGAACGTGGGAGAAAAAACATTTTACTATTTTTTAAGTATCAAACACTTTCCTTTTAACATTTAAAAAATAATGTCCTACCGTATCTTTTAATTGTTAACAAAATATCTTCAGTTTTATGGTAAATGGCTAAGGCGATAACCATCGTGTTGCAAATAAAAGAACTGAACAGGTGCGAGAAGAATGTGCAATTAGAAAATGTTTTCTCTATATATGACGCAACGGAACAAGTAATACTTAATTCGTGAATTTGAATAAATAAAACACAATTTACCAATAAGAATCCTGTTTTAACGAGTGTTACTCATTGTCATGTCACTGAAACGTCCATTAGCATGTACAACAAGGTGGACAAATCGATTACAGAGAAACATTGCAATACATTTAAAATTCGAACAGCAAATATTGTTATTTAATTGTAATAGTGTCCTGTAATTTAACCAGAATACATAATTTATCAGCCTAAAATTAAACGACTTTCAGGTCTAGCCTCCTAATTGAAATAGCTATTACTTATTAATTGAAAGGAAATTGAAGAGAATTATCGATGACTGGTCGTTCTGATACTAAATGAACAATTTCCGTATAGGTATTGCGCTATTGTAAGATAAACCATAGAGAAGTGTCGAATCAGTTAAAGAAGTAGCAAAAATGAAATCTCCACCATTATGAAACGAATAACTTTCGCTGGTGCTTCGGCTCTCAGACAAGTGTCCTACTTATTCGATCTCTGCACTTGTTTCCACCGTGTGTTTAAGGTCCATCTCACGTGTGTGTCGAAGACAAATCTTTTTTTTTATTAATTGGCTATGCCAATGTAGCTCGTTCGAGGTCGGATTTCTCAACGATACTTTTTTTTTTAAATAAACGTTGCCCCAGGAAACGTTTTCGGTAATTTAATATGATGTGTGAATTAACATTTTTATGATTTAACTGCTTATTAAATTTGTTAAAAATGTGAAAGTTTATATGAGGAAAAATAGCGATTACATTAATCAATTTGTATAATACTATCTACTTAATTTATTAGAACTTGTGTTTATAGTATTATGTGTAAAAATATGACTTTTTGTCCAAATGATAGATACTATCCATGGGAAATACGAATTAAATATAAATCAAATAGGTAATAATAATATACCAAATACTATACTATTATGTATTTCAAAAGAGTTTTTTTCTACCTAGTATCTTTATTTGGTTTTATATGTGTATCCTTTGGGGCCTACCCTACAGTTACCTATTTAACATACATACCTATAGGGAACCTCATGTAACTTGCAGTTAAATATTTTATTATGCATCATGCACACAATAACCCTGATGCATCTGATCTGCATGAATAATGTATTCATTCGGTAGAGGTAATTTAATAATTCAATGAATAGACAACCACCATTACGTATAGCAAATGAATAGGCTGCATTAGAATATTACTATAATACTTACCAGGGAGCTCCTTTCAGAAAATGTCTTAAAAAATGTAATAAGGTCTCTTGTGAAGTATCAACCTTTTGAAAACATTAGCTAATTAGGTATATTTAACTATTGAAAGACTCTTACATTTTCTCATTTTTTTTTATTTTTAAATTTGCAGGGAATGTTATTGATAAAATTCCTGAAAATATGCCGGATTGATACAAATTCTGAAAGAGCATTACAAAGGAATATAGGTAGATTTAAATTGTGTAAAGATTGTCGTATACGGATGGTAAATGTATGTTTTGCAGTTATAAAAAAACTAATTATTTTAATCAAAATGTTTGTCCATGCACGATAATAATTTTCCAATCTATTTTTCATGAGTACATACATTCAATTATTAGAATAATGTTTTGATAATACGGACAGGATATTGTGTAAAATCGTTTTTCTTAGAAGTGTTTATCAATTTTGTTATTTTGAAGTTGATTACTTTAAAACGGTGAGTATTTATATTAGGCCAGATATGCATTTTCCTATAGACCTGAACCTATAGGCAAAATAAGGTTATCTATGATCATACAACACCTTATATTTCCGAAAAATTTGGTTTTGGGTATTGTATTTCGAATTATTTAATTGGCGATTTATGCAAAACAAAAATTACTATTTATCTGATAATTACAAACTTACGAGTACGATGAACGTAAAAATGTATTTATCGGTTTCTTAGAAGTGTAATTTAGAATTATTTTTTACTGGATATCTAAAGATTAAAGATTAAAAATGAATTAGAAATATCCTTTTAGACGAATAATATGATTGGGAATCTTTGTTTTTTTCTCCTTAATCTCTTATTTACTCACAACGAATTGATTTGATCTAAATGGTATATAAACCCTTTTTCGCAACTCAAAAATTATTAGTACCTAGATATTGTGAAATCTATCAATTCTGCAATGAAATCTTTAAATTTAATTTTGTTCGCTTTATGCGGTTTTTTTGTAAGCATTGAATGCACTAAAGGTAAGCAACGTTTTATTAATTTTAAGAACTATTTCATGGTTTCTTTTTCCGATTTTTTAGACGTAAAGTGCCCGAAAAAGATTAATAAAGATGATATAGTTTTGCTACCAAGTAATAAAAATTGTTCAAGCTTCATCCAATGCCTACCAGACGGCTCCCAAGTTACATTTTTATGTCCAAGCGGTCTACATTTTAATCCCAAAAATAAAGTATGCGATTGGCCTGCAAACGCAAAATGCCATGATGGTAAATATATTTTCCAAATTCTGCAAAATAGCATGTTCCTTGAAGATTCTCTAGTATTAACGCAGTTTATTGTATTAATTGGATTATTTCAGAAATCAAATGCCCATCAGAAGGAGCGCTCTTGCCAAATCCAGGCGATTGTACCACATATATCGAATGTTCTAATGATATGCCTATAATAATGCCTTGCCCCCCTGGTCTTTATTTCAACAAGGATACAAAACAATGCGATTATCCGGAATCAGCGAATTGCACTTCTGAAAGTATAGATTATGAAGTTGCTAAAAACCAGGAAAATTTCAATGATGATATAATTTCTAAAGGAATTAGTCATGATATAAGTGCGTATCTTTCTAAACGAATTATTCTACTTGAATTATTTCAAGTATCAATATTGATATAAATAATTTATCGAATTTTTTAAGCAATATAAAAATTTATTATTATTTTGTAGAATGCCCGCTCGATGAATCTATATCATATTTTAAAACAGGGCCAAAATGCAACAAGTATTACCAATGTGCTAATGGTATAGCTGTCGAAATGGAATGCCCTCCTGGTTTACTTTTCAATCCAAATATAAATGCATGTGACTGGATAGATAATTACCCCTGTGAAGATGATAATTAGGAATTAAATACCTGCCTACAGATTGATAGGCAAAGCTGAAGCTGCAAATGTCTAATGCGCAGGAAGATTGTGTAATCTGTGTATTTATTATTTATTAGATATGTATTTATTTAGAATAAAATATAGATATTAATTTACCTTTTTGTTCAACGAGTAATACCCATAAAGCATGTCTAAATACGATACAGCATTCTGATATAATGATAAGGAAGTTGACAATCTTTAATACAGGTTTTCCCAAAATCATTACAGATATCATGAAGCGAATATTAGGTTACGAATACAAACGCCCATAACATTATTATGCCTTCAATAAAATTTTTTTAGAAATACTTTTAATAACTCATTGGTAATTGCTAAAAATTTGTACACCATGCACAAATAAGAGATGAAAGCAATATTGAACTAGTTCAAATATACAATAGTCTGTACAATTTTATACAAACGGTTATCTACTAATAATAACTAATAATAAACTATAAGACATACACTCTATGTTTTCGGAAGAAAAGGTTAAGGATTTTGTATGGAGAATTATTTTATACTTGACTAATGCAAAAGAAAATGTTATTCATTTAACTGATAAATAGAAATTATTGATGAGAGTAAAAATATTTTTATAGGGTTTTAGAAGTGTACTTTAGAATTGTTTTTTAACAAACATCCAGATAAAAAAGTGTGTTTAAAATATTTATTTTAGGAGAAAAATATGAATCTGATTTTTTGTTTATTTCTCCCTTTAATCTCATATTTACTCACAATTAATTAATTACTCACATTGGTCTAAATTGTATAAAAACCTCTTTATTGTCAAACAATTATTAGTATTTTTTAATCTATCGTTACTGCAATGAAATATTTAAAAACAATTTTATTCGCTTTATGCGGTTGTTTCGTAAGCATTACATGCATTCAAGGTAACCATAGTTTCAATAAGTTTTACAACTATTTCTTTACAAATTTTTAGACGCAAAATGTCCAAAAAACATTGATCAAAATGAAATAATTCTGTTGCCAAGTAGTAACAAAAATTGTTCAAGCTTCATCCAATGCCTACCAGACGGCTCTGAATCTACATTTTTATGTCCCAGCGGTCTTCATTTTAATTCCGAAACTAAACAATGCGATTGTCCCACAAACGCAAAATGCGATGATGGTAAAAATATTTTCCTAAATTTCATACACACATAAATTAAATGTAACACAAAATTCTACATACAGACCAGCATTCTTTTTATTCTTTTACCAAAATATGTCACTTTTTTCATTTTCTTTAAAGTTTTCTCGTTTTAATGCAGTTTAATGGACTTATTGATTTATTTCAGTAATAAAATACCCCTCAGAAGACACACTCCTACCAAATACTGCCGATTGTACCACGTATATCCAATGTTCTAAGGGCCCACCTTTAATAATGCCTTGCCCCACCGGTCTTTATTTCAACAAATACACAAAACAATGTGATTATCCGGAATCAGCGAATTGTAATCCTGAAAGTAGAATTTATGAAGACGATGAAGAGGAATATTACAATGAAGAAACAGTTTCTGGCAGCATTAGTAATGATATAAGTACGTATATCCTTATTAACGAATGTTAATTGAATATTGTACATTAATACTGACAGAAGTAAATTACCGAATTGTTTAGGCATTAATTAAAAAAATATTTTTGTAGAATGCCCGCTCGATGAATCTATATCATATTTTAAAACAGGACCAAAATGCAACAAGTATTTCCAGTGTGCTAATGGTATAGCTGTCGAAATGGAATGCCCTCCTGGTTTACTTTTTAATCCAAATATAAATGCATGTGACTGGTTAGATAATTATCCCTGTGAAGATGATAATTAGGAATTAAATACCTGCCTAGTGATCGATGGACATAGCTGAAGCTGCAAATGTCTAATGCGCAATGGTAATTGTTGAGGTAATTGAATTTCGAAGAAATCGTTAATCCTGTCGAGCTTTAATATTTATTGTGAAATTATGTATTTAGTGCAAAATTTATTAATGTACCTCGTTATTCTACGAGTAATATCCATAAAGCAATATTCAAATAGGATATAGCATCATTCTGATATTGATAAGGAAGTTGGCAATCTTTAATAGAGTTTTTCCCAAAATCATTACAGATAGTATGATGCGATTATTAGATTACGGATACAAAATCCACACTATTGATCATAATATTTTTATAATATTGATTATCACTCACTAATTAGTTTTTACACCGTGCGCAAATTAGTGGTAAAAAGTGTTACTGTAATATCTTAATTTTTTTCCAACCTAAATAAATTTTTATTTCTATATAATATTCAATAACTATTTTTATGTATATTTGCCTGATTAAATACTAATCACAATCAATAGACAATATAATTGGCGATAAAAATTATTTCTAATTAAAATTAAGAAAAAACCTATTAAACATTAAAACTAATCGAAGTAAACTATCACAAATTAACTAACATTTTTTTTTCTATTCGTAATATGTAATTAAAATAACTACGACTCAAAGAAAAACACTGTATCTACTAATACATGCATGCTCTCATGGTTATCGAGTACCATTATGTTTTTGATAATATTTAACTAACGGTTACTGAAGATGCAAAAATATAAATGCACTGCGTTATTTAAATAATTTCCGTTTATAGAGAGTGTTTAAAAAAATAAATACTACTGTTCATTAAGTAGGTTTACAAAAGCGTCCACTTTAAAGTTGAGTACGTAAACTTTAGTTTCCGTCCAGTATTTCCATAATGAGATGCTACATTCTTACCAATTTTGGGATCGATGCCTGTTATACTAGTTTATGAGGAAAAAATTGAATAAAATTTATTTTGTCATTACATTTTTGTACAATTGATTATTGTAGTATATCTAATTAACAAAATAGGTCACTCGCAGGGTTTAACAATTCCACATAATTTGGTCCACTTAGTAGCCGTGTAAAAATTATTAATCTATTTTTTTAAGGTGCGCCTACAGAAACACTAAAATTCTATTTACATTCGATAAACCAATTCGAATTTTTGTTTAAAAAGTGAAATATTACCTACAAAAAATATTTACTGAGCCATTCAAACAGCCGTTAACTGAAATTCATCGTTACCGAACAATTCCACCACGGAGTTTCCAAAAAAATATCCTGTACCATTTTTGATATTTTCATTTAGTATTTACTTTGCTCCTTCTTTTTGTTAATTTCCTTCATTAACATAGATTACCTTCGATACCTCTAATTTAATTATTTAGATTCTCTAATGGGGAAAGAAAAATAAATATTTGAAGTTTTGTACTTTTTTAAATAGTAGATTGAAACTTTTGATGTAAATGATTGATGATTGGTGGAATTGTTAAGCCAACAGTGCTTTTGTGATTTAACTAAATGAGCTGAGGGCTTGGCTAGAAAAAAAATTACTCAGTTATGTACACAACCATGACCGAGGAAATATATAGGACTTGTCAGAATATTTGCTGCCATTTACTTTTGTGCTGCATCCAGCTTCAGGTCTTCCATTCTTACGTGTAATACAAATAGTTAAGAATGTATCGGTGGTTTTGTATTTTAGCTTTAGTTCAAGTTTCTTTAGCAGAAATTTTCGATTTTACCGATATTGATGATCCCCTGAACGCCGTATTTCCTCAAAGTCAAAGTAAGTAATTTTGTTTTGGTTGTAATTTTATGAAACTTTTTGAAGTTGCTTTAGTGTAGGAGTTTTCTATAAAATTATCATTTATTATCAATAACAATTATCATAATTTTATACTGTTTAATGTAAGAACTTATTAGGTGCAAGAAGCTTACAATGTATTTGAATATATTAAATTAAATTTAGTTTGTTGTTAAAACTTCCTTCAAAATTTTTCTCTACCCACGTTTATAATCCAATTATACTTCCCGTCTTCTCAAGTATAATTCTTTAAGTTAGGTTTCATATAAATTTGGTATTAACAACTTTTACATAAGAATGGATAATCAAATATACGGAATATCAATATTTACACTTTAAACATCCGTTTTACTCTGTTTTCAGAAATTCAGTTGAAAGTTACAGAATGTAAAGTCAACACGAAAAGCGGCCTGAAGTACGGATCTTGTGTCCCTTACGGTACTTGCTTGTTGTCGAGAGGAGCGCCTAATGGATTCTGCGGTTTGCTGCAGACTTGCTGCATCTGTGAGTACCTACCAGAACACTACCTCTACTTCAATATCAAAATGTTTTATTCTTATTTACAGATGAAAATACTTGCGGCAAAAGCAGCAATGCCAAAGTAAGTTACTTCGAAGAAACCGAAATATCTCCTGGTACCACTAATTGCGACTATATTATTGAATTAAGAAACAAGAATATTTGTCAAGTAAGGTTAGTATATACACAATAAATATGAAGAGTAATTATTTTATACATTCTTGTAATATATTCTTAAGCAATTTCCCCAATCTCATGTATTTTTAGATTGGACTTTATTAAATTCAATTTAGCTCCTGCAGTACTTGCTCAGCCTCAAAATTTAGGAAACAAAATTTACAAATGCATTGACGACATATTGAGAATATCGCCTAACCATTTCAATATACCCGATTTATGTGGAAACAACGACAAACAACACGGTAAATTTTGCATTATTATAATTTACCCAAATCCTTATAATTTACTTTTTATTTTGCCTCTCTCATTTACTTACCAGTTTACGTGCACGTTAACCAAACGGACGGTGTAACAAAAGGAGTTCAATTACATATGATGCTGGCTAATAGAAATTACAACACTCAACTTTTCTCTCCATCATGGCGCATAAAAATTACCCAATTAGAATGTCCAGGTACAAGAGGAGGAATCAATTTCGGCGATAACAAAGATGTGATCGAAGATTTTCCTTTATTAGGTTAGTAGCAATAGTTAAAACGCAGACTTTGATAAAGTTTATTAATTTACGATTTTATTTTCAACAGCACCTTTGGGAGCTTTGCAGTATTTTACGGAACCTACGGGCTACATAAAATCCTTCGGGTTCGACGGCTCAGTAGCTAATCAATTAAGCTACACCTACGGTCAAGAATACGCTATTGCAATTAAGAAAGACATCGGTGTATGCGGTATAAGGTAAATAAAAGCTTTTCTTACTAATAGAGAAAGGTATTTATGGGCTTATTTTATAGATTCGTTCCCGATTACATGTATCTACCGCTAGATAATCCAACAGGAATGATTTATAAGGATTCCGATTGCCATCACTACTTGTACGTTCCAGAGCTGTACATTGAAGATAGTGCATCATATGCTAATACTTTGGTTTCAAAGTTATGTCTGAAAAATGCAGAAAATTTTAGATGTAAGAAAAATTTCCTTTAGTTTTTATTAATATTTTTTTCTTCATAATTTTTAATAACTTTAATAACTTTTTTAATATCATTTTGGTAATTATATCCTCAATTATTAATGATTGTTTATGCTTGTAAAAACTTATTGAAATTTTTTTTTATTTTAGCTTACAGTCCTGGTCCATTTTACATGTTCTTTAATTCAAAGAAAACAAATTTTGCTCCTGAACTAAATCAGAAACAAGGATTCAACATACAATATCGGCTTCTTAGTAAGTGTCCCTAATATGTATAAATATTTAATTTTTGGAATATACATACTTATCTATTGTTCACTGTATTAGATATTTTATTGTATTTATTTTATTTATACGAATGAATTATAGATGTAGAAAATATTGGAAAATATTTATTTCTGAAACGTAAATTAGGTTTATAAAAAATTGCCTTATACATAGATTAGATTTATAATGCTATCTATATACATTAATACAACAAATAATAAATTAATAACAATTTCTGTAAAATAACAATACCGTAAATATTATTTTCTAAAATAAGTCTTGTATACCGATTTAATAAAAAATATATGAAGCCTTTGAAATTGTTGATTATGAATATTTCAATTACCTACTAGAGAATAAAGAATAAAGATATTTAATTTTTTCGCTTTTTAAATGACTTTTAACGCATGGCTATAATATATTTTTTACCTCTTTTTAAAAACTATTGTATAATCTAACTCTTAATCGTTAATAACTATAACAAAAATAATTTAATGAAAATACTGGTAGAAAATGTATTAAACGAAAATGAAAAACCCTCTTACCAATAATTTAGTTAATCATATTACATTACGGACAATCGATGGGAAGTAATATGTATGTAGGCACTTACCTACATGTACTACACGAATATATACAGAAAACACCTTAAAAAACTCCTAATTTCTGAAAAAAGGCTGTCTGCACATGCTGTAAGTACTCAAAGGTATTCCACCGGATTGCTTGTACATGTCATGTTGGTCGTAGTCTACATCGTAGTAAATACCGCTTTGATTCTACAAAAATTCAATCAAATAAATAGCCAACACATCAAAAAAAATGTCCAAAAATACCAAAACATTTCACGTTATTTCGATTAACTCTTCGAAGTAAACCACATGCAATTTGGTATTACAATGAACTTAACGTACTTTCATCTATAACTTACAGCAATTGAAGCGTTACTTCTACTTTTCGGCCTCGGCACTTGGAAATGCCTGCCGAGAAGATCCGCCTTGTCCTCCTCTTCGCTCGAACTGGTATTATCGACGTGCTTGATACTGGCAATACTGGCGGCTCGATTGGCCATCTGGGCTTGCAGCGTAAGTCTCGGCAAAGGTACCGGCGGCAAAGTACCGCCGTGGCCGTGCAGCGACATATTACCGCCCATAGGCAAACTGGGATAACCGAATAGCGCTGAAGATGGCCTCGTCGGACAGCCTATACCGGGCTCAGGCTGAAACACCATAATTATTATCTCTTAAGTAACGAGTAGATTGTTTCTTACTGCGTAATGATTAGCTTGAGCCATAACGTCGGCAATCTGCGCCCATCGGAGCCTATCTTCGAGGGTGAGTTGGTAAGGTGGTGCTCCTACTACGGGTGTTTTGGCAGTGTTACTGGCTGTGGCCATGTAACCGAAAACTGGACTGCCCACCGCTGCTTTTTGCTCTCTATTCCAACGGCGACTGAAACGTTAATAGGTTATTAACTGCAGTTTAATAACGTTAATAATAATAACGTTTGTAAGAGTGCGGTGAGAAATGCGTTCTTTTTCTAATATAAGAATGTTAATACTGGACATTACCTCCACATCACCAGGCAAACTAATGTCAGTCCAATAATAATAATAGCTGCCACGCTAGCTCCTATTGCAACACCTAAAACTTCACCATCGAGTTCGCATTGAGCACCATAATAATTCCCTGCGCATCTGTAAGCATACACAATATTATAAGTAATAAGAAAACACACTCAGTATACTAATTCATGAATGACGAATGTGTTTATTTTTTCTATAATAATTTCCAAAATAAACGATTGAAGATGTAATAAATTAATAAATCCCAGTATGAAGAAATTAACGATGTTCCTGCCTACTTAATTTTGAACTTACTTGCATACTTCCTGGCCGTTTTGGTAAAAGCATTCTCCTCGATTGTTGCAATGCTGGGCTGGGCACTGTTCGCACAATCGACCAGCGCGATGTTTGCTGTCCATCCAAGGATCTCGGTAGCCTTCCATGCATTCGCATTTGAAGCCGCCGAATATGTTGACGCAACGGGCCAGCGAGTGGCAATCGTGCAGGTCCGGAGAAGAACATTCGTCGACGTCTAAAAATAAATGTCCATATTTCCCGCTAGACTCGTCGAAGTTTAGTCATTACCTTGCAAATTGGAAATGGAGCCCGGCGGACTGTCCACCCATAGGGCGCTTTCCCCTACGTTGTTGCTCCTTCTTTGTATCACCCCTAATAGGTGTCGCTGAATATCCCCTCTGACTGTAGGCCTTGCAGTGTCTGCGTTCTCATCTAGCTGCAAAGTCAAATTCACGAAGACCCCAGCCTGGCCTTGGGATCTGTCTCCTCTGTATATACTATTAACTTTAGCGGCAAGAAATTCATCACTGAAAGGCGTCATTGACATAGCTGACTCCAACTAAAAAAATCATAATGAGGATGTGAAATACAGAATCTGGAATAGAATGTAATTAAGAGTTCTACGTACTGCTCGTTCTGCCTCGAAGGACAATTTTTGATAGCTATCGCTGTTCTGATCGCCCAATTCGTTGGCCCAAACGACTTTTCTGTCGTATATTTTATCAACTCTCAACGACAGCAATATAGAAACTATTTTTCTGCACGGATCTCGATGCTTTCGTCTCGCAGTTCCCGGCCTGCAATGGCAGGCGCTCACTCCAGACTCGGTTTTGCAAATTTCGTGTTGAGAACCATCGCACGTGGAATCGTCTCCGACAATGCAAGTATCGATCCTAACATTAGACAAACACGAGAATTGAATAAATCTGCTGTAGTTATAATAATTGTAGTACCTGACGGGCGGAGGTGTAGGACGAGGTCTTCCGTAAATGGGCCTTCTCGGAACGTTCGGCTTGGTCACCGATCCTTGTCTGTTGATCTTTTCCGATTCTGCGACCGCGAATCCGGTGGCGAAAACTTGATTGTTAGCGGCTGCAGTTCCGGTGGGTTTAATCGCAGCCGCAACCGATGTGGACTCGTCGAAAAGATTGAGATAAGTCCGTTTACCGTCGATGCTGACGAATCCTTCTGAACCCGAAGATGAGGTGATAACGTCTCCCGAATGAACGTTTTCTATATCGACTAAAATATATAAATTTAGTAGATGCACTAGTAGATATTTGCATTTTAAATATACCTGGTATAACGTACGGCTTTCCTTGACCACCCGAAGAACCTCCTAAACCTTGAATAGCTGATACTGTAATATCGAATATTTCTCCAATTTGTCCAATTGGCGGCCGGGTGATGATAGGCTGCCTGTGAATCCCACCGGGTTTGTACTCGGTGTCGTCAAGAACGATTCCAGGTCTAGGTTTATAATGAATATCTGTCGAGCCTATCGAAGTGGAAGATTGGTTACGAATCGATGATGATTCTGAAAACAATTTATTACTCATTTTGATAGTAAATTATTAGTACTAGACTTACCCGTAATTATCACCTCAGTTTTTCCTATGGTGTTGTTACTGGTAGTACTAATAATCGGTAGATTTTCAGTCGCAGTGCTGGACAAACTAGCTGCCTCCTTCTCTCCTAATATATCAGCTCTCATTGTTTGAAATAAATCAAATATTGACGATTCGATAGGAGAATATTCCACTGTACTACTACTTGCAGCAGTTGTATGAATACTCGTATCGTTCAGGGTAATTGAATCGTTTAAAATGGACGTTGAAATGCTCTCGAGGGTAACACTTGTTGGATTAATTATGGAGGAATTAGTTTGAAGCACCTCACTGGTTGAATTAGATAATTTCGATACAGTTTTCTCTTCAGTTTTATCAGGATTAAAAGTAGGCGTGACAACTGTTGTTTTGCTGGTGTATTTATCAGATTTCGTAACCTGTGCAAGATATGAGAACATTCGTTAATAGACAATACCGCTTAATTGAATCTACATTAATTACTCACATTTTTTATTTTTTCTTTATTTTTGTCGAATACCGCCAATTCCTTATCAACTTCAGTCGATTCTTGATTAGCGCCGGATACATCCTCTTCAGGCGAATCCGTAGAATTCCTCAAATCTTCGTCCTCTTGATTGTACATCCCTTCCTCAGTACTCGAAGATAATTGAGAACTTAGATCGAGCATAAGAATGTCCTCGACCGGTTTTTCGGTCGTCAAACTGATCATTTCCGAAGAGAAATGCGGCACTGGCTTGTACGGGGGTATAGACGGACGTCGGTTATTCGAATTAGGCGGCCTGCGCCGCTTCCAAGGCGGTATCGCCTGCGGGCGGAGGTACCCAGGTCGTTTTTTCACAGTCGTATGATCGGATATGGGTATGCTCGTTCCGCTGCCCGTGATAGGGCGCACCGGGGACATGTTGGGATGCGGAACGTCGAAGGGATAGGGAGTGGGAAGCCTGGTGGTAGACACGGCAGGTGGCGGCATTTGCCCCAAAGGAGGCGGCGGTAGTGGAGCCGGTACATCGAAATCCGGAGGCAAAGCCGGAACGTCCGTTATTCTAGGAGGCCCTCTGTTATTTATTCGAGTAGAAAGCGGTCGTAATGGTCTTCCTACTACCGGTCCGGTATTTGCTTGAACATTTACGTTTCCTGTTTAAAGACAATATATAGAAAAGTACTTTTATAGACTGTAAAGTGTGTTTACCATTAAGAAGCTTCACTATTCCTGTGATGATGTCCTGAATATCAGGGTTTGCTTGTCGCCCTTGATTTGATAGAGGGTGTGATTGGGTAACAAAACTGGTCGTCGTCGTGGCACTGGGAGTGACTTCCTGATGGGGCTCCCGCAGTGGCAGTGACCGTGCCTGGAGCGGAGCCCCTGTGGATTCCCCCGACAATTGTTCGGTTCTTTGATGAGCAGCAGTGGAGGCGTATTCCTCTTCCTAAATGGAAAGCAATTGAGCTCGGATTACTTGATAAAGCGCAATGTTATTTACCGTTTTTGATGGTTGGATGTAGCCGGCTAATCTTCCCGACAATTCGACGTCGTTGCTGTCCAAGGCGTCTTCTACATTTTTGAAAATGTTGAATTCGTTTGCGATGGGCGTTTGCGACAAAATAGGATCTGCTGAACGTTGAACCCTCGAGGGATTGTTTATTACAGTAGAGGCTTTTTCATTGCTGTAATCTGTTGCTTGTAGTTTTTCTGTTTCCTTAATTTCTCTTGGTATCGACGCTTGTATATCTGACTCAACGACGTCTTCAACATCTGCGTTTGCAGAGTTTGGGGATATGAATGAATTCGAATATTCATGATCAAAGCCTGAAACAATAATTCTTTGTTCACAGTAATTGTAGAGAAATATTATCCTTTTTTTAATTAAAGTAACAAATGGTATATCTAGAAATGAGTATAATTTTTATATTCAGGGGCATTTGGATATGAACGGTTCGTAATTGCAGAATGGAGGAACTTGCAATTTGCATTTTTACATGCGGGCATTGTTTGAATAAAAGTATGTAGGACGCAGAAGATATCGCACCTCGTAATAATATTTAATGTTGCTGAAATTATTGTCCTTAATGCAATAGCGGATGAACGTTGATATTAATTCGAATGAACGAACACACACAATTTGTTACACTCTCTGTTTTCTACTTTTTATACTAACGACTAGAGTAAATTTGTTTCGCAAACATAATTATTTTAAAGAATAAACATGCTATAATAATATTTCCATAAGATATAATGAACTCTTTTACGTATTTTTAGAAATTAATAGGTAGGCAGTTGTCATAATTTCTACGGAAATAAATTCAATAAGTAGGAAGACAAGTTTTGCTAAATATTTATTAGTTAATTTTCCTCAAAATATACTTTTTTATAATGATTGAAAATAGTTAAAAACTTCAGAAAAATAATTAAAATCTCAAATTTAAAAGTTACCTTTTAAAGCTTAAGAATTATTATTACTCGAATAAGGGGTGGCCATACAGGGTGGCCAATAAAAACAGTCCACCGGAAATATTTTCCTAGATTTTTTTAGGAAATCCCCGAGGTGGCTCGATTTTGACTTCAAGGGGGAGATCATTTGGGCGGTGGCAACTCCTTCAAGAAAAATAAATGGATGTAGGCACATTATTTTAAAGGTATTTCAATTCTCTTTTCAAACATGCTGACATTTTTGGTCTGTGTTAAAATTAATAAACACCAGTTGGTAGGGTCGGGGAAATAAATCGAAGAAAAAAATGTCCTAACAAGTTTTAATTAATTAAATGTTCAAATTGCGTTCCATTGACTTCCATGCAGTAATAAAGTCTTTGTTCAACATGCTCCCGAACAATTCAGATCATTTCAGGGGTTATTTCTCTGTCCATGCTTGGACTGTTTTAAAAGAGCCACCCTGTAAAACTAAATAAAATTTTTAATTTTTTGCTTAATTCGCCTCAAATGTAAAAGGCTGAGAAACATTGGATAGATTAAAATGCAAAAAAAATATCTTTAAAGATGTCGTAAAGGTAAACTTATAAATTAGGTACTTAGAATGAATATAAATAAAAAGTTTATTACGTGCGCATACATAATAAGAAGAAAGTGGTTCTTATTTTTGGTCTTGCACATGACTCATACATTTCATTTTAAACCGTCGAAGAAATTGCGATTTGACTTGCAGAAATGTTTGCACAATACGTCTCTGATTCATAATAGGATACGAAATTGGATGAAAGTTTTAATATTTAGGTACGAAATTTGTCCATTTACAATGCTGAGTTTTCAACTCTTATCTATTAATGATTAAATTCCTTCTGTAGGTAGGCACCTAGTCTGGGTAATTTATAATTTTATTATTAGAAGAAGAAGAATTTTATTATTGGGTAGTTATGTAGCATCAAATAGTTTTGTAGTTTTTAATTAATTCTCTAATTGCCTTAAACTATTTACTTAAAAGAAGCAAACGGTTACGATCACTTGAACCATTAAATTGCATAGTTTATAATCAATATCAATATCGACGATAAAAACGCAAGAATTTCGAATATCGCTCGAGGTGAATATTATTTGATGTACCGTTAAGACCGTTATATGGGAGACATAGGTGTGTTCTCGTACCTAAAGTTAGTATTCATAGTAGGAACCGAAAATAGCTATAACGAAATTCCACGTATAGGATAGAAATTGTTGTCTTAGGAGAGAATATTAATTATTAGCTTAACATGAATTTAAAAAATGTAAGCCGTTTGGGGTAAAATGGGGAAATTTTTTGTCTAAAATCATATCCTTCCAATATAAATAGAGTGTAAAACTTTAAATTTATAATTTGAATATAATACTATTTAAATTAGATTCTTAACTAATAACTAATAACGTTATTAATCCAGTGTTTATACCTAATGTGTTTGTAAATTAATAAGTTTTTGAATCTTTAAGTTTTCTTGGTAAAAATAGGCATCTATAACTCAATATTAGGTAGATAGGTATCGGTAAAAAACAGTTAATTGAACTTGTATAGTGAATGATGTTCAGTTAGAATGCAATTTATTGCTCTCTTGTTTACAGTGAATGATTCGCATATTATTATTATGTATTATCAGCTAACATTCATTACAGGTAATTCAACTTTATTGTTATTTTGCAGTTCTTATGATAGGGATGAGCCAATACACGCTAATTTATTTATACCAAACGAATAGGAACGAAATTTTGGAATATCCGGTTCAATTCAACTCAGAGCATATTGTTGAAATGGTATTTTTTTTAATTGGTTTGTGCTTACAGTTATCAGATCGCTTTTTAGGTTCCAATAGTAAAAAAATAGTAAAAGAAATTTATTATTCGATCTCCAACGTGATTAAAGATCAAATGTTCATTGATTCGACATGCATAGCTGATTCTGGCTCACCGGAATTCATCATTTTATCATAGGCGTAACATATGTATCAAAAATAGCACAGATTCTAGAATATGAAGGGGTTTTCAATTTTTTCTATTAGTTAGCCCCTTTTTTTCACTGTGTATGTTCCTTCACTTTTAAATTATTTATGCTATTTTTGAATCAATCTTTTATTTTTCCTGTACGTATTTTCTAATTCTCCATTCTTTTCATATTTTTCGCAGTTATTTCATTATCTTCTTTAACAGTGCTTCTCCTGTCTCTTTTAAAATACCTTTAGCTGCTGGTAAAAAATACATTTGAATCGGAGAACCAAAATCATTAAAATTCAACATCTACTTAACCATTTCTTTTGTAAACCCGTTCAATGCAAAATAACTCTCTATTCATCTTTTATTGCTGAAACGACATCCGCCAACGTGTGTAATTGGAAAATTCGCGTTGCTATACACTTTCTTTCAATTTAATCGTGTTCACTGAGTGGAATGGTATTCCATTATTAGCATTTCTACTAGAGGGGTAAAACGAAGAAGTTTTAGAATTTTAATTAGGCACCTATACGTTCACTTTTATGCAGCTAGAGGTACTAAAAATATTTCCTAAATAAACTCATTTAAAATGAAATTTTACAAGAAATTTAATATTGGGTGCAATTAGCAGAAATTAGAGGTACCTATAAACTCCCTTTTAGCTTTTATGTTTTCATTTCATATTTTCATAATTGGATGAGAGGTACTAAGATTGAAACAAGGTTTTCATTGTAAAACAATATCTCAATTTTTAAGTAATTTTAGTATTGTTTCTTTTTAATACAAAAAATACTAATATTTTTGCATAGTAGATTATTAAGTAGGTACTTACCATAAATATTTGTACTTAGAAGTGGAAAAATGATGAAAATTAGAGTGCATTTAGTCCATAATAAAGATAATAATGCCATGTTGGACCAGGTCAGTCACGAACCCCGCCTGAACCACCAATGTGCATTTTACAAACCACTTCACAGATAATTGCTTTTTTATAGCGGCGACTTAATTGTTTCTATTAAAATTCATGTAGACCTACCACCGAAAAGACGTATCACTATACATTGTTTAAATAAGACGTGTTTCATAAAAAAACAGTAAATAAGTAACTGTTAAACACATCAATATGTAATTATCTTGAACTTATCGGCCGATGAGATATTTTTTCATACTAGTTGAATTTCGACAAAAATTAGGTCACTTTGAACTCGAGTACTAAACCACTTCCGCAGTAACTTCTAGCGTCCGTACTTCACATTTTAACATATTTTTAACAAAAACTCCACGAAGCACTGAAATGTTCAGGAATTCATCAGATTTCACCACATATTTGAGAATTAGATGGTGCAGTGTTGGCTTCTTCACTAGACTGGCCAAGTAACGGAACCATGAGGTTCTACAAGAAGTATTCGTTGCAACCATACCGGTCATGGGGGCAAGTGAAGCAATTCGTGTAAAAACCGAAACGCTCTGGTCGGGAAAAAATGGATTAGCGAGAAATTCTTCGATACATCGTTCCTTTCTAACGTGTTATTAATTTTATATAATTTATTGGAACATCAATCAAGAGCACTCATGTAGAAAATGCTTGTAATATAGCTTAAAACGTTCTGAGCGTAATTAGGCAATTTATTGAGACCTAGAAAGGGCAAAAATATGAATTACCTAAGCATATAGGAATAATTATTGACATTGAAGTAAATGGTGCAAGTCATTGCGATTACTCTAAGGTTTGCAGATATTCCGGTTAAGTAGTAGAAAAAAATGTCTATAAATTAATACACCTAATTATTTATAAACTGTTTGATTCTTGGTACAAGTTTACTTCAGATTCTGGTGTTTTTACGTTTATTTTATCATGCTTTCGGGAATATTTTTATAGATGAATATTCTAATGAGACTGTAAGTTCTGATGTTTATGGAATATTATATTAATTTATATTTCTTTAATTCTTATGTAATATATTAGTTTAAATAATAGTTTAACTGTATTTCAATAATACGTATAACGTTTAAAATAAAAATAAAAAAATTCAATTTTTGGCGGATGATAATGATGCCACCCTTCTGTGAATTTTGGAAATATTTTTATCAATTCTTCTTTTTTATCAGATAATAAATAATGCTCATCAAATGTTATTTACGATTAGCACAGATAAAGAAGCTTTTTTGAGTGAATTATTTCTTATTATTAATCGACTAGAAAGAACTCGGTTTAATAAAAATAACTAACTGTATAACTAATCTTACAAAGACAAAATTTAAAATTAGTCAAAGAAGAATTTTTCGTTTGATTTTTGAAGGTACGTCATACGTCACCAAAATCACTGTCACTGTCACTTGTCGTTTGTCGTTCGGCTGTCAATGACACAGGGCAGATTTCATTAAATAATACATTAATTTTCGGAATATTTTCAAAATTATCCAGTGGAAATATCCAATTCAAACTGTTAAAATGCTTTCCAGGGCTGCGATTTTAACAGGTAACGTGCTAAATAAGAGAAATTACCACGTCAATTATATGAATAATCCCTAACCTTACACAGCGTTTATGTAATAGGTCAAATTGATCATTGAACCATTTTTTCTTTAATATTTCAGGCCAGAGCTCAAAATCTCTTGTAGCTACTTGCTTAAGAACCACTGGTACTTCGGCAGTAAGTAACCAGGTAGCCAAAACCGACGACAAACCCAGCGAAGTTGGTTTCCAGAGACCCGTGAGTATTTCGTATCGAAGTATAATCAATCTCTTATCTTAAAATATGTTTATATCTAGGTGAGGCAAGAACCAGGTAAAGTCAGGATGGGTTTTATACCCGAGGAGTGGTTCCAATTCTTTTACAAAAAGACTGGTGTAACTGGTCCCTACACATTTGCCGTTACCCTGTCTACTTACCTCGTGAGCAAAGAAATTTACGTGTTGGAACATGAATACTACACCGGACTGTCTTTGATCATTATGTGGACGTACGGTATTAAAAAATTGGGTCCTAAATTAGCTGCATACCTCGACAAAGAAATCGATGTAAGTATTCCTCCATAAAATTCAATCCAGTCGTTCTTAAACGTTTCGATTTGTAGGAATACGAAGGCCAATGGAATGAAAGTAGAGTAACGCAGAAGAATACTCTCGGCGAACAAATAACTGAAGAAGAGAAAGCTCAGTGGAGCATGGAAGGACAGAACCTTCTAGTTGAGGCTAAGCGTGAGAACGTAGCACTTCAACTCGAAGCCAACTACAGGGAGAGGCTCGTTCAAGTTTACTCCGAGGTGAAGAAACGTCTCGACTTCCAAGTCGAAAAACAAGAAATTGAACGCAGAATTTCCCACAAGAATCTTGTCGATTGGGTTGTGGCTAAAGTGAGGGCTTCTATCACAGCCGATCAAGAAAAGCAAAACATCAATAAGTGCATCAGCGATTTGGCTCTATTAGCCAAGGCTTAAAGTTAATTTTATGTACAGTATACAATTTAAGCTGAAAAGTGTAGCCGTCAACTTTGTTTTATCATTTATTCTTACACAGTACATTATGGTTTATTTAAGAATACTACCCGTCTTTACAAATAAATTTAATTCAAAGTAGAAATTGTATTTATTGCTGAAACATTTAACATGAAAAAAAACACTATATTAATGCTAACAGACAAAAGAAATTATGTATTTGTAATTATTTATTCGGCAAATTAAAGTAGTGAATTATTAAAAGAATGATTGAGAGGAAAGTTCCTTCGGTTTGAGTCTTGCATTTTATTGATTTGTTCGAGATGAGAAACAATTTGCGCCGTATTTCTGTCTAACCACTGGAGTGAATTCATGTGGGCGTTCATTATGCGGCTAATTTGCGTCAACTAAGAAATATGAAATTAAAATACAATGCTTAACTTGTACCGAAAAATACTTACTGGATTCGAAACTTCTTCGCTTTTATTGGATTCGTTAATGTGCTCGATAATTTCTTTCAAATCATCGGACATTTGCTTCAATTGCGAATCGATTATTTCCGAAAATTGATACCTAAAAAAGTTTTAATTAGAACTATTAAATATCTATCAATAAATGATTCTTACATTTGATTTCGATCTATGTCCGTCACGGGAATTTCCAATAATTCCTTTTCCAGCGGTGTTATCAACTCTTCCAATTCCTTCTGCTGTGCTAAGACAAAATCGAGTTCTTGATCCAATTGCTGTTGCTGCTGCTTGACTCTCTCGATACTACCGTTCAGGTTGAGAATCTTTTCACCATTTGAAATAAGCAACGAATCCCAAGCATTAAGCTGCTTCGCTTGATTAATGAAAAATTTCCCTTGCTCTTCCAAATCAATGGTCCATTTGTTAATAGAATCTTCCAGTTGACTGAAAGTTAACGAACCAGTAGAAGTAAGTGTCGATGTTGAGTAAGCTGGGGGTCTGTTAAAAAATAACAAGAATAATTTAAGGTTAACTAGCGCTAATCCTAATAACCTACGCTGTTGTAGTACTTAATGAAGTCGATGGAGTTGTTGAAGCAGCAGAAGAAACTGTAGTCGATAAACCTAAAGCAGGGGCACTGGCTAATGTAGTGGTGCTCGGGGTAGAAGCGACTCCAAAAAGGGGGGTAGTTCCTGATAAAAAGTCAAACACGTAAATTCGCATGTAATCAAAAATGTTTTTATACGGTAAACATTACCTGTAGTAGCTGGGGCTGCTGAAGACGTTGTTGAAACTGCTGGTCCAAAACCAAGTCCTAAAAATGAAGAGAGAATAATCATTCAGCGCCGTATTTGTAAAAATAAGAATAACCTTTTGCTTTCAAAAAATGAAGGAATTGCTTCAAGGTATATGCAAAAAAAAGAAATGAAGGAAGAGGATTTGCTTCGAGGACCCTGCTGTTGCTTTAAAGCCAAAGGTTTTATGCTTTTTGTATTTATAAATAAATGTCTAGTCTACCTTTAATTTCAAAGTAAAGCTTCATTTTTATAAATATGGACTATTGTTTAGGCTACGATGATGATTAAGTGAACAAATTAAAATTAACAAATAAACTTACCGGTTGATGCTGGAGTAGGCGCTGCAGCTGTGGTTGATCCATATAACCCTGATGTGTCCTTAGGGGTCCTGGAGGTTAGTCCAAATTGGGAAGAAGATGTTGGAGTACTCAATGAGGCTTTAAGGAAATTGAAAAAATTAGTAATGCGCCGAAAATATCACTCCTGAATTATGAACAAACCTAGGGCTGCTGTACCGAAAGCGGATGCTGTCGGCTGTTGGGTTGTAGGCGTACCAAAATTAAACGACGGTGCAGCAGACGCGGATGTTGCCGGTTGTGGGGCAATCCCGAAAGCTGGTGCGCCACTTGTGGCCGTAGAAAATAATGTAGATGATGGTTTAACTTCGGTTTTGGTGTCTCCTCCTCCGAAATTAAACTGTAATCCAGTAGCACTAGCTGTAAAACATGGATGTTAGGTTGTTTCAGGATGAGTATTTAATGATGTATCTTACTAGTTGCCGGATTTGACGGTAATGTAAAGCCGGTAGCAGCTGTTTTTGGAGTGCTAGTATTTCCGAAGTTGAAAGACATTTTCTTCGTCTAAGTGGAATTAACAGTAGTTTAAGATATTTCAAGTTTTAGCGTTACAAGTTACAACCAAACATTTAAACTTCTAACTTGACTTGACATCACAATGACAAATAATATAACCTTATTGTTCTTCGTTTTTTTACGATGGATTTTATATTTTATGTCAAAATTCAAATCCATCTGTCATTACTAATAACTAGTAATATCGAGGTCAATAATTTTGTAAAAATTGTATAAATAAAACGAAGAATTACTTCTGTCCTTGTCTATACCTGCGAGTTAAAAAGAGAGAGCGATCGAATCGGCCCTCGAAAACAAAACTAATGCGCAGTTTGCGCGCACAAATCGAGACAAGCAGTCATGTAGACGACCGTACTTTTTCAACGTTTCATTAACGTCAGTCGGCCATCAAAATGGCTGCAACAGATAGCAAGGCTCCGCTTAGAACTGTTAAAAGAGTGCAGTTTGGAATACTTAGTCCAGATGAAATCGTAAGCACTTTTTACTTTAGGACACATTCTAAGTTTTTAGCGTAATTTTAAAGCCCCAAACGAACTTTTCATGCGCAAAAACGAGTTTGTTTTTGTTGCGATTGCGACATATAACAAAAGGAAAAGTTTGCAATATAATAATATTTCAGATATTAAATGCATTTGTAACAATCTAATTTTCATTTTATTAACAATTCCCGTTATATTCGCGCAATATTTGTGAATTATTTTTAATGTTGCCTCATTTGTTTTAGCGTCGGATGTCGGTTACAGAAGGGGGCATCCGCTTTCCAGAGACCATGGAAGCGGGTCGCCCCAAAATATGCGGTCTCATGGATCCCAGACAGGGCGTCATCGACAGAAGCTCCCGATGCCAGACCTGCGCTGGCAACATGACCGAATGTCCAGGCCACTTCGGACACGTTGATTTAGCCAAACCAGTATTTCACATTGGATTCATAACGAAAACCATAAAAATCCTCAGATGTGTGTGCTTTTTCTGCAGCAAATTGTTGGTCAGCCCCGTAAGTACCAACCACTCTACATATATCACATTAATTTTCATCGCAAATTCCTTATAGAACAATCCGAAAATCAAAGAAATCGTAATGAAGACGAAAGGCCAACCGAGGAAACGACTCACGTTCGTTTACGATCTGTGCAAAGGTAAAAACATCTGCGAAGGTGGAGACGAAATGGACGTGGGTAAAGAAGGCGATGAAGGTAAGAAGGCCGGACACGGAGGTTGCGGTAGATACCAGCCGAACATCCGGAGAATCGGTTTGGATTTAACGGCCGAATGGAAGCATGTAAACGAGGACACGCAGGAGAAAAAAATCGCTCTATCGGCCGAAAGAGTTTGGGAAATACTGAAACACATCACCGACGAGGAATGCTTCATCCTCGGCATGGATCCCAAATTCGCCAGACCCGACTGGATGATTGTTACTGTAAGTAAATGTTGCTATCGATGCCATTTTATAACTAAATTTATGTACTTTTAATAATTTAAGTAAATTCATACGCCAAACAATATAGATGCATAACTCAATGGCATAATTTTAAAGCTATAAAGCGACATCTACAAATTCGAAGGAACTAAACACAACGTTGTCACATTGCCAATGATTACTTTTTTATTGGTTTTGTTTGATTAAGTACAGGGTGTAAACAAATGGTTGAGAAAGAATTTAATGGGTTATTCCTTGTCAAAAGATAAATCTTTTATATTAAAAAATGTTTGTCTAGGGATCATGTCTCTTTCCTTGACTGAATAAAGCAGCTGCAGCGCCATCTGTTTATTCGAAGAAACTAAAAATAATTCCCCAGAATCGCCGATTCAAGAAAAACATCTATAGGTTTGGTCTTGGAGTAAATTTAATAAGTAAATAAATTTGTTTAGGTGTTGCCTGTACCTCCTTTATCCGTACGTCCTGCCGTTGTTATGTACGGATCGGCCAGGAATCAAGATGACTTGACTCACAAATTGGCGGATATCATTAAATCGAACAATGAGCTGCAGAAGAATGAAGCTGCTGGTGCTGCTGCTCACATTATTACTGAGAACATTAAAATGTTGCAATTCCACGTAGCCACGTTGGTTGACAATGACATGCCCGGTATGCCTAGGTAAAATTCTTATTACACCAATGGTTTATTTAGATTATTTTATTTCGCGTTTTCTACAGGGCTATGCAAAAATCTGGAAAACCTCTAAAAGCCATTAAAGCTCGTCTGAAGGGCAAAGAAGGTAGGATTAGAGGTAATCTTATGGGTAAACGTGTCGATTTCTCAGCTAGAACCGTCATTACTCCTGATCCGAATTTGCGAATCGATCAAGTCGGCATTCCGAGAAGCATCGCTCAGAACATGACCTTTCCGGAAATCGTCACGCCTTTCAATTTCGACAAGTAAGCTTTTATAAAACATAATCCGATAAATTTCTAATTCTTTTCATCGTAGGATGTTAGAGTTGGTTCAAAGGGGCAATTCCCAATATCCAGGAGCGAAATATATTATTAGAGATAACGGGGAAAGGATAGATTTGAGATTTCATCCGAAACCTTCGGATTTACATCTGCAATGGGGATATAAGTAGGTCTCGTTTTATTCGCATTACACCGTTTGTTAAATTCAAGTATATTTAAGAGTCGAAAGGCACATCAGAGACGGCGATTTGGTAATATTCAATCGACAACCGACTCTCCACAAGATGAGTATGATGGGTCACAGAGTCAAAGTATTGCCTTGGTCCACGTTTCGTATGAATTTATCGTGTACGTCCCCTTACAACGCGGATTTCGATGGCGACGAAATGAATTTGCACGTACCGCAAAGCATGGAAACCAGGGCGGAGGTGGAAAATATCCACATCACGCCCAGGCAGATTATCACGCCGCAAGCCAACAAACCCGTCATGGGAATCGTACAGGACACATTAACGGCTGTCAGGAAAATGACCAAACGAGACGTGTTCATTGAAAAGGAACAAATGATGAATTTGTTAATGTTTTTACCTATTTGGGATGGTGAGTTTTTGGATGATTTTGTGTTAATTTTATAATTTGTTTGTGTGATTTAAGGTAAAATGCCCCGTCCGGCGATATTAAAGCCCAAACCTCTGTGGACTGGTAAACAATTATTTTCTCTTATTATCCCTGGAAACGTAAATATGATCAGAACGCACTCTACTCACCCTGATGAAGAAGACGACGGTCCTTATAAATGGATATCTCCAGGTGATACGAAAGTAATGGTAGAACACGGTGAATTAGTAATGGGAATATTGTGCAAGAAAACTCTTGGTACATCAGCAGGTACGTGAAGCATTTTTATTAGCAAAAACAGTTTCTAATACGCTTATTGTAGGTTCACTACTTCATATTTGTATTCTGGAATTGGGCCACGAGGTTTGCGGAAGATTTTATGGCAACATCCAAACGGTCATCAACAATTGGTTACTACTTGAAGGTAAACACCGTTTCGATGGTCCTGCATTTTAACTGCAACGGAATTTTTTGTTCTAAAATAGGTCACAGTATCGGTATCGGTGATGCGATCGCCGATCCGCAGACGTACACAGAAATCCGAAGAGCCATTAAGAAAGCCAAAGAAGATGTAATAGAGGTCATTCAGAAAGCTCACAACATGGAACTGGAACCCACGCCCGGTAATACGTTGCGTCAAACGTTCGAGAATCAAGTGAACAGGATATTGAACGATGCCCGTGACAAAACCGGTGGTTCCGCGAAAAAATCTCTAACAGACTACAACAATTTAAAGGCCATGGTCGTGTCGGGTTCTAAAGGTTCTAACATCAATATTTCACAGGTAAAACTACTAATGATTTAAAAAAATATTCGCTTATAATTGTATTTTTCAGGTTATCGCTTGTGTAGGCCAACAGAACGTCGAAGGTAAACGTATACCGTTCGGCTTCAGAAAACGCACGTTGCCGCACTTCATCAAAGACGATTACGGTCCCGAGTCGAGGGGTTTCGTGGAGAATTCCTACCTCGCCGGTCTAACTCCCTCCGAGTTCTATTTCCACGCCATGGGAGGGCGTGAAGGTCTCATCGATACGGCCGTAAAAACCGCCGAAACCGGGTACATCCAACGTCGTTTGATCAAGGCCATGGAGAGCGTTATGGTGCACTACGATGGCACCGTAAGAAATTCGGTAGGTCAATTGATCCAGCTGAGGTACGGCGAAGACGGCCTTTGCGGGGAAATGGTCGAGTTCCAAACGCTGTCCACCGTGAAGCTCAGCAACAAGGCGTTCGAAAGAAAGTTCAGATTCGATCCGAGCAACGAACGATACCTTCGAAGGGTGTTTAACGAAGAGGTAATCAAGCAATTGATGGGTTCCGGTGAGGTGATTTCCGAGCTCGAAAGAGAATGGGACCAACTTCAAAAGGACCGAGAAGCCCTTCGGCAAATTTTCCCCAGCGGCGAATCCAAAGTGGTATTACCTTGCAATTTACAAAGAATGATTTGGAACGTACAAAAAATATTCCATATCAACAAAAGGGCGCCTACTGACTTATCGCCGCTTAGAGTAATACAAGGCGTAAGGGAATTGTTGAAAAAGTGTATAATTGTAGCGGGAGAAGATCGTTTGTCGAAGCAGGCCAACGAAAACGCCACGCTTTTATTCCAATGTCTAGTGCGCTCCACTTTGTGCACCAAATGCGTTTCGGAGGAGTTCCGACTCAGCACGGAGGCGTTCGAGTGGTTGATTGGAGAGATAGAGACCCGCTTCCAGCAGGCTCAGGTGAACCCCGGCGAAATGGTGGGCGCTCTCGCCGCCCAATCTTTGGGCGAACCCGCCACCCAAATGACATTGAACACTTTCCACTTTGCCGGTGTATCATCGAAGAACGTAACTCTCGGTGTGCCGAGATTGAAGGAAATTATTAACATCTCGAAGAAACCGAAGGCGCCTTCTTTGACGGTGTTTTTGACGGGCGCCGCTGCGAGGGATGCCGAAAAAGCCAAGAACGTTTTATGTCGGTTAGTAATTTAATATAATTCTACGAACATTAATTATACATCTAAATTTATTACGTTTCAGACTCGAACACACTACTTTACGTAAAGTCACCGCGAACACTGCCATTTACTACGATCCCGATCCGCAAAATACAGTCATACCTGAGGATCAGGAATTCGTTAACGTTTATTACGAGATGCCCGATTTCGATCCCACTCGTATATCCCCTTGGCTGCTGCGTATCGAATTGGACAGGAAGAGAATGACCGATAAGAAACTTACCATGGAACAAATCGCCGAAAAAATCAACGCCGGTTTCGGTGACGATCTCAATTGCATTTTCAACGACGACAACGCGGAAAAATTGGTGCTGCGCATCCGAATCATGAACAGCGACGACGAGAAATTCGGAGACGGTAAAATTGTCGTAATTTTAATGAATTAAACGATTTTAAATTGGTGTATTTTGCGTAGGAGCCGACGAGGACGTGGACAAAATGGACGACGACATGTTCCTCAGGTGCATCGAGGCCAATATGCTGAGCGACATGACGCTCCAAGGGATCGAGGCCATTTCGAAAGTTTACATGCATTTGCCACAGACCGATTCGAAGAAACGCATTGTAATTACCGATACCGGCGAATTCAAGGCCATCGCCGAATGGTTGCTCGAAACGGACGGTACGAGTATGATGAAAGTGCTGTCGGAAAGAGACGTGGACCCCGTCAGGACGTTTTCGAACGATATCTGCGAAATATTTTCGGTAAAATCACTATACTATATCTACAATAGTTCTTACATATTTATAAAAATGAAGCGTTTACTTTGAAGTAAAAGGTAATTGGAAAAGGTTTTGCTCTGATCCATATTCATAATCTTCGCCTTTCCCTTGCAGTTCTAAATTATTCTAGAGAGTTCTAAATGCTTCTAGATAATTTAAATGGTTCTGGAGCATTCCAGATTGTTCTAGACACTTCTAAATCATTGATAGATTGATCTAGTTGATTGCTAGATTGATCCAGACAGTTCTAAAAGACTAGAGACAGTTCTAAATTTTTCTGGAGCGTTCTAGATTGATCTAGACAGTTCGAAATGGTCCTAGACCGCTCTAACGTAAATGCACCCTATCAGCCATAACAAACTAGGGAAAATACAGTCAAAATACATAAAAATTTTACATTACAAGCTGTGTGGTGGCTGAGTAACTACTGAAAAGTTGCTATGAACCTAGATTTAATCTTTACAAGCGAATTCTTTTCATTTGAAGCTAATACTTCTTTTTATAAATACGGGAAATATAAATATTTAAGCAACAGTAAGCTCTCCTCGAAGCAAAACCACATCCTTTTTATGTGTATACCTCGAAGTAATTCCTTCATTTTTCCTGAAAGCGAAAGATTACGTTTCTTTTTATAAATACATACGGCCCAATTTCAATGTTCGTAGGTATTGGGAATAGAAGCCGTTCGAAAATCAGTGGAAAAAGAAATGAACGCCGTACTTCAATTCTACGGTCTGTACGTGAACTACAGACACCTCGCGCTGCTTTGCGACGTGATGACGGCCAAAGGACATTTGATGGCCATAACTCGTCACGGTATAAACAGACAGGATACGGGCGCGCTGATGAGATGCTCGTTCGAAGAAACCGTCGACGTACTGATGGACGCCTCCAGTCACGCCGAAGTCGATCCGATGAGAGGCGTATCGGAGAACATCATTCTCGGCCAATTGCCGAGGATGGGAACCGGCTGTTTCGATTTGTTGTTGGACGCCGACAAATGTAAAATGGGCATACCGATACCTCAAGCTCACAGTTCCGATCTCATGACGTCCGGCATGTTCTTCGGCTCGGCGGCGACGCCGAGCAGCATGAGCCCGGGAGGTGCCATGACTCCTTGGGCTCAGGCGAATACGCCTTATGTAGGCAGCGAGTGGTCGCCACAAAGTAAGTTTATTTTTGCTTATTAAAAAGAGTACGTGATTATTAATTATGTATTTGTTTTCTAGATATGATGGGTAGCGGTATGACTCCGGGAGGAGCGGCGTTTTCTCCCTCTGCAGCATCGGACGCTTCTGGAATGTCGCCAGCTTACGGAGCTTGGTCTCCGACGCCTCAATCTCCGGCTATGTCGCCTTATATGGCGTCACCTCACGGCCAATCGCCTTCTTACAGTCCTTCGAGTCCAGCATTCATACCCACCTCGCCGTCTATGACGCCCACATCTCCCGGATATTCTCCAAGTTCTCCAGGTTACTCGCCTACCAGTCCTAATTACAGTCCTACGAGTCCGAGTTATTCACCAACATCTCCGAGTTATTCACCGACGTCGCCCAGTTACAGTCCGACGTCTCCTAGCTATTCGCCGACGTCGCCGAGCTACAGCCCTACGTCACCGAGTTATTCGCCCACATCTCCAAGCTACAGTCCGACGTCTCCGAGTTACTCGCCAACGTCGCCAAGCTACAGTCCTACATCTCCTAGCTACTCGCCGACGTCTCCGAGCTACAGTCCTACATCGCCGAATTACTCGCCTACGTCTCCGAATTACAGCCCGACGTCGCCGAGCTATTCGTCGACCTCGCCCAGTTACTCGCCGACCTCTCCGAGTTACAGCCCGAGCTCGCCCAGTTACTCGCCGTCGTCGCCGAGGTACACCCCCGCCTCGCCTAACTACTCGCCGACGTCGCCCAGTTACTCGCCGTCGTCGCCGCAGTACTCTTCGGCCTCGCCGAGTTACTCGCCCTCATCGCCGAAATACTCGCCCACGTCGCCGAGTTATTCGCCCACGTCGCCGTCGTTCTCGGGCGGCAGTCCGCAGTATTCGCCGACGTCGCCGAGCTACTCGCCGACGTCGCCCAGCTACTCGCCGTCGAGCCCGCAACACACGCCGGCCGGCAGTTCGCGCTACTCGCCGTCGTCGCCGAACTATTCGCCGAGTTCGCCGAGCTACTCGCCCACGTCGCCGCAATATTCGCCGCGCAGCACGAAATATTCGCCGACGTCGCCGACGTACACGCCGACCAGTCCGAGTTACTCGCCGGCGTCGCCGGCGTACTCGCCCCAGCCGCCTAGGTATTCGCCGTCGTCGCCTGGCTATTCGCCGACCAGTCCCGGACAGGACAACGATTAGATTTTATGAATCGTTTTTTTTATCCTCTAGGTTAGTTGATTTATTTTGTACTACTACTTACTATTCTTTTCAAGTAATTTTGAAGTATTTTAAGAGGCGATTTTACAAGCTATGAATGTTGTTTTTGTAGTATGAACTTATTACTAGTATCTATATTCTTCTTTTTTTACATTATGGATTCTGATGAAATGTAACAATGGTAGTTTGTAAAATAGCTAGTTAACGATGTAGATAAGGGTATATTATATAAAGTTAGAGGTTTTATACGCTATTGTGGCAATAATCAATTTGTGAACCATTTGATTAAACGTATTGGTAATTAATAGTAGCTGTTAATTTGTAGTCGATACGTTTTTTAAAAACCATTGGAGAATATTTCTAAAATGTAAGAGACTGTATGTTCTTTTAAAATGCGATAGAGTACGAGGATGAATTGTGTAGGAAAAAATTTGTATTTTTGTTACAATTATAGTTATCTTAATGCCAATTTTTTGACTCTGTGTTATCCTGAAAACCCTTTCATTTATGACAACTGGAAAAGGTAGTATATAAAAAATACGAAAAGAGGATTAATTTTGTTTCCCTTTTATACGAAAAATTATACAATGTGCAAAAGAGTATAAAATGCAGGTATAATAAAAGTGTCAAAATAATACTGTGTATCAATCGAAGAACACGATTTCATCGTAATCCGGCAGCTCTGAGCTCCATCAACGCGCTTTGAGTGATAATTCCACGATTCTTGTCGGTTTTCAAAGAATTTACAACGATGGCCTTTTTGGAATCCCTTTTTTTGACAGGTTCGCATCGAACTTTCAAACTGTGCAGTTTTGAATCATCGCTTGACTGTAACTTATCTACTAAAATTAATTCAACGTTAATCGCACAATACAATAGTGAGTGGCCCAATGGCGATTATGCATTAGCCGGTATCAATCAGGAAAAAGTTTCTAAATTTCAAGTCTACATGGGCCCAAGTATGCAAGCTATATCTATTAGTGAACTAGGGGAAAGCTCATTTGGGGCAATGTGAACTTGAAATTTAGAAACTTTTTCCCGATTGATACCAGCTAATGCAATTCGCAGAATGCAATTTACCTTTACTAGAAAGATTTACGTGTTTCGTCATTACTTTAGAGTCTGACTTTATATTAGCATTTTGTAACCAGTGTATTTTCTTGACGTTCATTTTGGGCTCCGACTGTGAGAAATACGATTTTTCCTTTAGAGTCACGTGATTTTTGAAGTAGTTTTCCGTGTTTTTGGTCACTTTGGAATAGACTTGAGGAACGCATGATTTCGATTTGGCCAGCATTGGGTTTGTCGGCGTTTTTTGGCCGTGCGAAGACATCAACTCGTAGAGCTTGTTGCGATAATCGTCCACCGACAGTCTCACGTCGTCGTTCAACGGAATCGTCACGTTGGTCGCCATGATGACTTCGTGCTGGGCGTTGTGGAAATTCGACACGTACTGATGGTCCAAAGCTTTGTCCGCGTTCAATCGCTTGAGCGGATTGAACACCAGCAATTTCGTTATCAGGTCCAAAGCGTCCGACGGCACGCTCGGTCCCAATATCGAAATCAACGGGATTTTCTGCAAGGACGAAGCGTTTTTGATCATCGACGAACCGATGCCCGACACGCACACTTGAGCTATATCTGAAAGAGGATTTAAATCGGTTGCATTAAAGCGATTTGTGCAAATTACCTTCGGACGTAGGAGTGGGTATAGTAGACATAATTTTCTCCACTTGATTCACGGTCGAGGTGCCGGGGAAAATCGGTTTGCCCAGCGTCATTTCCGCTAATATGCATCCCAAACTCCACAAATCGATGCCTTTCGTGTACCTAAAATTCCCGCAAATGTAATTGACGATTCGATCCAATGATAAATCTGTTACCTTCGATTCGCAATCAAGATCTCAGGAGCTCTGTACCATCTGGTCGCAACGTAATCGGTGAGGGTGGGATCGCCTTCGGATATCGCACCGTCTGTTCCCATCGACAGGGACCTGGCCAGTCCGAAATCCGCGATTTTGCATCTAAAATACAAGGAAAATCGATTATCGGGAATCCATCGCTCCTCCGGAACCTATCAACCTGCATAGACTGTCTAGTAGGACGTTGCTCGGCTTCATGTCTCTGTGTATAACGTTGCCCGAGTGTATATACTTGATGGCCTTTAGTAGCTGATATATGACGTATCTATGGTGGATGTCCTTCAAGATGTTCTTCTTTTTGATCACGTTGTGCAAATCAGTTTCCATGTACTCGAACCCCAAGTATATATCTCTGTTGTTGGCGGCTCTAAAAAAATTTCACCGCGAATGTTGGAAAATTGGGCGATTTTTCGTGAGCGAATGTGAATTACCTGTGGATGCTGTGCAGTCTAACGATGTTCGGGTGGTTCTTGAAAGATTGCAGGAACATGATCTCGCGGAACGTCCGCTGGGCGTCCGTTTGATTTCGAAAGGCGTCGAATATCTTCTTCACCGCCACCACTTCCCTGGTTTTCCTGTCGATGGCCTTCCACACGATGCCGTAGGCTCCTTTACCCAATCGCTTCTGGATGTCGAACCTCTTCATGATGTGCTCATCGATTTCGCTCATTTTATTCTTAGGTTGGGCCATTGCGATTAAAAATATTTTTCATTTATATCCAATAAACTGGTAAAATTCTTATACAAACCATGACTGGCTAATAGACAGCTGTCATTGCGATGTCCCCTGAAGACATGTGTCGAAATGTTTATGGATATCTTAAAAAAAATGATCGGGGTGTTTATACGGAAAGCGATTGTTTCTTTTTCTACAGGGCGATCGTTAGATAATTAATCTTTATTGGGTCTTTAAGGAGTATATTTTAACAAAAACTTCCAATACTTCCTAAGCTAACAACTCCTTGAGAGAGATTTATTAAGTTCATTTTTTGCCGGTTAATTTTCACTCCAATACTATAGAATAAATACGATTTTTAGATAAATGTTTGTATTATATATTAAAATTTCTATGTACTAACTATACACTAAATAATAATAATTACCTAAATAAAGTGATCTCTCCGCAAAAGCACAACCAGCAATGTCGGCTGTCCACATAACGACAGGGAAAAAATCAACAGAATGTTTTATCATTAAAACCTCAAATAAATAGAGCGGCGGTCGGTTTATTGGTCACATTTCACATGCGACCGTTTCTATAGAGACAAATCAATTGTTAGATGTTATCGTGGGCGCTCTTCGACGTTTGTTCCCTATCGAACATGTGTCTGTGTCTCAGGGCGAAGGAATAAAAAATAAAATCGGACACGTTGCCGATTCGAGGTGAATTATCGAGTGAATTATGTAGGACAGCTCATTATTAAATATTAATCCGTAGTATAGTAACCGGCACACTTTTGTTCTTTTGTGATTTGGGTTCTATAGGAGTACAATTATGTGTATAAAGTTGGACTTCAAATTGTAAAAGTGGGTCGCAATACCCTCCCAGTTGATTTATAATTCCTATAGTCTTTGTTATTTATACACTTTTAAGTATTTTGTAATTGCCGTTTTGTTCGATTTCGATGAAATCGATAACAGAAATCGGGGAATTTCAAGATTAGTTGGGTCATTCTTTTTTATAGCAATTAATATTTGCAGATGTCATATTTTGCAAAACTGAAACTGATTGTGAACATGTCTCACAAAACTGCAAATGTTTGTTCAATTTAAACTTTTTTCTATCCCACAGTTTTCGAGATCTCTGTACTAAACATCGAAAAAAACCTCACCCTGTGTAATTCCGTAATTCTCCCTAATGAAAGGTGGTATATTTACGTTTAAATAAATACTGGTACTTTGGGCAAAAATTTTTGGAAACTCCTCTTCTTTCTAATTAAATTTTGTTTCATTTTATTGTACAGGTAGATGCAAATTGTTTGCATTATAGCCTATGGGTGCAACAAAGACAACTTACATTACTCTCATTTAAAGAAAAAAGAAAGAATGATATTGCGGGATGCAACTTTCTCACTCTTACCACTGTTATTTTCATAAACTCTCTTTGTCCAACTCATACAATTGACCATGTCTTAAATCGATTTGCACTTACCCATATAGGATCTAAACCCTTTTGTGAATAAGTAAAGTTTATAAACTAAAAATAATTTCAACATCAGATTGTACCTTCAAATTACAAATCAACTCTTTTCTTACTGTAAAAAGTAATGCCTACATTGCATTTTCTTCTTTCAAAAGATGCCATGGTATCTCTTACTCGTTTAGTCATCCAGTTACTTAGGCAGTTTTATTGGCTACACTGGCGCCAAGTTTTTGACGTTTCAAGTTTACCGGTTTTTTTCTTCTTCTGTTCCTCAAGCACTCCAAGGTCCTTCATTCACATTCATGTAAAGCAACGTGCTTCGTAATTTTTTAACGTTCGTGTAGTTTAAATTCGTTATTTTTTGTATACAGTAATCGTTAATTAAGCTTTAAAAATACCCTCAAGTGAGTATTTATGTTTGTTATTACCTATCATAATCCACGTTACTAATTTCATGGCCGAAAAATAATCAGTTTTTTTCGACACCTTTTTGTTCTACTTATCACAATGTATCTTTGGAAAATTTTAATCGCTTAATTTGTTTCATTATCATTTTTAGAATGCCGCGCTTAACAAAATTAAAGTCGGAAGACGAAATAGCAGCTTCCCCAGTAAGGAGGTCTACCCGAATACATTCTCAAACAGAAAATAAACTAGAAACACCAAAAGAAGGTATGTAGTGCAACGCGATTCCTCTACATCTCTACTAAATCTTCTTTTCTTTAGCTGCGACTACTAATAACCCGGGTTCTACGAAGAGAATACAAGCCCGTCGTACTTCGAACACTACAGAAAACAAAGCAACACCAACAGGCAGAAAGACTTCGATATCTTCGGATGATTCGCAAGCACAACCCACTCCGCGAACTCGTACGAGATCAGCATCTAAAGAAAATACACCTATTAAGACTGTTGCAGCTCGTGCGACTGTATCGAGAGAAGGAACTCCGGTAAAGGCCATAAAATCGACCGATAACAAGCCAATGCGAATCACCAGACTGAGAAGGTCGGCTTCCGTTGATCAAGAAACCGAGGTCATCACAAGAGTAACGAGGAGTAGAAGGAATTCAATGGACGTCGAGGTGGCTGCGTTGCCTCAAAACGAACCCTCTGCGCTCGAAAGTAATGGCTCACCCGATCAAGCAAACTTGAATCTTAGTATAATCCAAGAAAGCAGCTTCAACGAGGCGGAAGAAGAGAAAAATTCAACCAGCAAAAGTACTAGTCCTAATAAGGAAGATAATAATAAAAACCAATCGAGCGATGATATTAAAAATCAACTCAGAATTGTAGTGGATAAATTAGAGACTTCCCTGTCGCCCAGGAGATCGCCGAGACTGGTAAAGTGCAGCGGGAAAAGTCCTTGTTATAAAAAATGCAATTGCAACGGGACCGAAAGCGCGACTGCTCCGTCCAGTTCCGTTACCCCGGCGCAGGAATTGAACGATTCCAAATCCAGCATCGGCAGCGATAAGGAAAATGTGAGTCAAAACCTCAAGGAACGCTCCTTAAGCAACTCCCCCATTTCAGATAAGAGCGTCCTGAGAGTGGTGCCGATCGAAACTACTGCGAAAAGATTGACCAACGTATTCACTCCCAAAGGAATTCGGTACAGTTTCAACGAACCGATGGATCTCGATGTAACCTTGAGCACGCCGAAATTCAATAAATCGCTATGCGAAGACAACCTGAGCGAAGACGAATCGATCCACTTGGTGTTGCCGGAAAAGGAGCAAGATGTATCTAAGATAGTCAACGATTCTAAAATAAGTACAAAAGAAGATGAAACTAAAAAGTCTCTCGATATTAGTACTTTGAAAGAGAAGACATTATCACCAGAAATTACGACAGAGAAGCTCGATACATCGACCAAAACAAGCACAGTTTTATTCGAGGAAAAATCTAATGATTCAGAGGAATGTGCCAAACAAGTGATCGAATTACTTAATAAATCGCTCAATTCTTCAAAACAGTTAGATGATGAAAGTGAACAAAAAATTGAAGATACAAACAAAGTAGAGGAACCACTTACAGCAATAGAATCCGATGTAAAATCGAATGTAGGAGATTCTATAACGATCGAAGAACAAGAAAATGAAGCCGTTAAAGAGGAATCTCGAGCTGCACCGGTAAATCCGGAAGATAAAACGAAGGAAGAAGATTCCAAAATTGCTGTAGACACAGATGAAGAAATGGAAATTGTTCAGAATGAATCTACAACACGAAAATCGATTGAATCGAAACCTTTAGATAACTCCAAATTGGAATCCTCCGTGACTGTTACAAGCGAAAAAATAGATGTAACATGCGAGGAAATAATTAGTCTAGATGATGAAGATAGTGATAATAAACAAATACAGGAAACTCAATCAGCGAATAAATCAGTCGATGGAAAGAGCGAAAATGATACTACGTGTTTAGAAGAAATGAAAAGCAGCTTTATCGATATCATCGTTGAAGAAAGTTCCCAATCAGTTCAAATTACAGAAGAAACCAGTGATGAAAAAGTGGAACTAGTAAAAACTGATTCAAAATCGAAAAAATCGTTAAATAAAAGCGACTTTTTGTTGAACGAAAAGTCGGAGAAATCGCCCAAAAAGAGTAAAAGTCCGATTGGAAAATTGAAGAAGTCAGTTGGTCATAATTCGCCAGTTCTGGATCCATCGACAAGTGCCAAATTAGACGATTTTATAAGCAAAAAATTGGCCGATTTCGACCAAAGATCGTCCTCTGAAGAATCCGCGGAGCATTCTGAAGATGAGAACAGCTTTGTCGATGATATGGCCCAAGAGGGCGAAGAAGATACTCCTTCAGAAGACAGCAATCAAATAATCGACGAAGGAGAATCCATCCACACGGAATCCGAACCTGAATCAAATTTAGATGAGTCCTACTCAGATGATTCCTTTATATGCAAAGAAGAAAACTTCGAATTGTTGTCAGGAGAAGAATACGATTTAGGAAACAGCCCGAAAGAGAAGAAGAAATCACGAATAATAAACGTTGATGACAGAGATGAAGATATCATTGTTTTTGAGAAGACGCCGAAGCAACAACAAACGAAGAAAAAGTCCAGGATTATCGCGTACTCCGGAAATTCATCCAGCGACGATGAAGAGCCGCCAAAATCGGAGGAAAGTTCTAGCAAGAAATCGACCCCTAACCGATCTATTACTGTACTGGAAAATGTTAACGTTAAAGATATCAAAGATGTCGAAATAATCGAGACAGTCGGCAATATAATTAAGAATTTGAGTACCACTTTACCCAACCAAGAGGTTACGAAGACTGAGGAGATTACTAATGAAGAATCCGAAATCCAAGAAGAGGATATGAACATTGAAGAAAGCGATTCGAAAGAGTCCATTGAAGAATCGGATATAGTTGCAGTGGATGCTAATTCTTCGGCTAATCAAGAGGTTTCGTCGAAGAGGGCGAAGAGGAAACGTTCGGGGAGTCTAGCCGCACCATCGAGGCAATCCACCGAACCCGACGAAGTTCCATCGAAAGGCGTCAAAAGGAAACGTTCGATAGGCGAAATTAAACCGGCCAAGCTACCTCGCTTATCCGACGAACAAAGCGAAAAGAAATCCACCAAGTCAAAACGCAACAAAAACAAGAAGGTGGCTGAAACGGCCACGGTCAGTAAGAAGAACAAGAAATCCAAATCGTCTCCCGGCCTCAAACATTCCTTCGGTTTGATGTCCCAGCTGCTCACCGACGTTAAAAACAGACCAAAGAGGCTAATCAAGCCCAGCAAGAGCGCCGTTCCCGAGGGCTGGAAAGTGGAGGATGTGCAGCGCAACATCAAACCATCGAAGTCTATCGTATATTCGAAGGAAATCGCCAAGAAAGCTTACCACGCGAGGGATTTCAGAAGTCAAATGCTAAACGACTCGTCTCGAATTAAGAGAGTGAGTTCGAAGGTTATGTTAAGGAAAAAGGGCGCCTATGTTTAGTTGTTTCTTTGTTAAATTTGTATGAAATATGTTGCCTTATTTTTTATGTATTAATTAAATTGATTGATTAATATTGATTTCGTTATTCATGTATTTTTCTACAGGATGTAGAAAGAGTTTTTTATGGGGGTGAATCTTTGGCACATTTTAATCATCCCCTTAAATATTAGCACGTCGTTTTAAAACTCCCTGTATACTTATAAAGACCAAGAGAAAATTAAGAAAATAATTTTATTACAAAGTAGGAAAACAAATCAAACAGAAGTAATAGTAGTAATAGTAAATATAGTAATCGATAATTAACGCATTTTTTTCAATTCCACTTCGAACACCAGAGTAGCATTAGCTGGAATGGCGGGAGGAGAGCCTTTTGCGCCATACCTGCAACAAAGCGTGCATTAAAATATTTTGTTCAAATAACTTGAATTGTTATACGATATAAATAATCCACTCAAATATTTATGTTAAATAAATTGCGTTGTTACTTACGCCATATTAGGAGGGCAGGTGATCCTGCGTTTACCTCCAATCTTCATGCCTACTAGACCGACGTCCCAACCTTTGATGACCTCCCCGCTGCCTAATTTAAAACTGAATCCTTTGCCCTGTTTAGTCGCATCGAAGACTTTGTTGTTATTCTTCAATCTACCCTCGTAGTACACCTAATAAGAAATTACAAATTACCGCACAATTAATGGTAGTACTACTTTACGTACAGTTACGATTCTTCCAGGCTTAGCCGGATTTCCTTGGCCTGCTTTGATATCTTCAATTACCAGCCCGTTGTTTAGAATTTTTTTCGATTCTTTCTTGTTGGGCGATTGTTTCTCCAGCGAAGTTTTACTCTCGTTTTTCTTCCCCTTTGCCTTAGTTAAGGGCGTGCCGTTTGTTTTCACTTCAGTGTTATCCTCGCTCGAGCTGGCTTCCTATATTAATTACATAATACATACATCTACTAAATACAAACAACATTAATTACTTACTTCCTCTGCATCATCTTCGCTCTCTTCTTCCTCCATATCCTCATCCTCGTCTTCGTCCTCATCATCTTCATCGCCTTCATCAGCGCCCTCTTCATCTTCGAGATCGCTTGTATTGAAATCGGCATCATCATCATCTTCGCTTGCTATCGATTTCTCCAAAAGTTGCCTCAAATCGAATCCCCCATTTCCCGCTACCTCATCATCATCATCATTACTCGAGTCATCATCATCTTCTTCATCATCTTCGCTCTCTGCTTCGACGACCGATGCTTTCTTGTTCGATTTCTTAATTTTCTCGGGAGCTACCAAATTCAGATAGATGAATAAAATAAAATTTAAATCGAAAGGTTAAAGATGAACTTACGCCCGTTCATTAACTTGTCGTTGTTAATTCTCTTCGTTTTTCGCTCAGATTTAGTTCGAGCCACGGCCATCTCCTCCTCATCATCTTCTTCTTCATCATCGATATCATCTAATAGTTGATCTTCGATCAAGTAGCCCGTCAAATGCACGCGGGAATTCCCGTTGGTAGCCAAGCATATTTCATCGCCAACCTTGTAAAAATAAATTCATCAAAAATACCAATATTGGCTAAAAATTAAATTGCTTACATCGAAATTTAAATCTAGAGGGCATTGCAGTAAATCCGGAGTTTTCAATGAGCACAACAGGTAGTTCTTGCCATTCAAACCGACCATCACTTGGACAACATCGGTGCCAGAAGATGACACATCTAAGGCAGCCATGGAAATGTGCATAGCCTTCTCAACTGTCTGCGAGTACGCCTTTTTAGGCTCCATTATCAAACCTGCAAAATATTATAAAAAATTATAAATTTACTGATGAGATAAAAGTGATCAAGAGTGTTAATGAGAGGCATGTTTTAAAAAAACTCATCTGTAAATAGACCTGGTAAAAGGAAAACAATTAAATAAAACAATTTAAATCGACGGGTTAATGTAAAATATAAAATCAAACACGTGGTTAGCGGCATATAAAGGGCATGAAAAAAGAATTGAGAATCCATTGCTGGCCGGTAACGTGACTTACCCCAAAACATGTTGATTTCGAATAGAATTGAAAATATACACACTACACAAGTATAAAGGATAAATGGACTATTAAATTAACGACTAATTGTTGAAAAAACAGTGAACGAACAAGTATAATCAAAGCACAACGCACTACCGCCTCTTATCATGTGTTGGGTTAAATAGAGAAGAGGAAACGGAATTGAAAAGTGGGGTTAGAAAAAGAAAAAAAACTCGTTGAATTGACAGGTTTGACATTGACACTTGGCGGGATGAATTTTTCGATTTTTCTTCCATATTATTGACATTTACAGTCTCTTACTATTTAGGACATCTTGCCAACACTAAATTAGCAAAATTATCTATTATCATCTATTTATTACAACTATAGAGATCACTAAAACCAATATTTCAATATTTCTTTTTGATAATTTCACACACTGAATTAGATTCATGTATGGTAATATTGGTAATAGAAACTGCGAAGTCTGCAACCACCTTTACAATCACTCTTCATTTGGGATTTACTGATGCGAGTACAAAAATTCACTATTTTCGAGTAAAACAATGTGGTTTAACATTAAATATAGGTACATATAGAAACTTAAATTGTATGCATCGGCTCAATTAAGTAATTAGAAGTGAGAAGAAATAAATCTCGATCTATTTCCGTCGCCATAGGGACTACTAATTGCCCTAATCCAGCGATAATTCACCCATGTGAACGAGTAAAACTACGTGTCAGTAGTAAATAGTGCGACGATATAATTTTTAAGTGTTTTAAGTGGTGCCAGTCACAATAAAAGCGTTTTTTATTTCTACTGTTTTAGCTCGCGCCGCGCCGCTCAGCTTCTCCTAGACTAGTCAAAACAAGGGTTGATGGTTTTTTTAATAATTAAATTCCACTGAATCTCCAGAAGAGCATTTCAAACGACACTTTTTTATAACGCCCACATCAAACTTCTTGATTTATCTAATCAACATCTATATTTTTATCATCTACTTTAGACTATATTAACAGATTAACACAGACTAGATTAACAGTGTAACATGTATAACACCATAGCATTACATCAGGACGGGAAAAAACCTGCAGGGGTTGAACAGGACTCGATGCAGGATGGTTCCGGAATCTGTTTTCGCTCCGCCGTTTAACAAAATTGGATTTTTATTTGTAGGTTTGGAACAAGTGGCAAGGCGAGCGTCGCCGTGAAATTGTCGTGATATATGTGAGGGGCGTCTCGGTAAACGATGTCGTTTCATAAATAAAACCCTCGCTCCTTTTCCGCTATCAGATAGAAAGGGTTCGTTTTATGCGAATCGCCGAAAATTTAAAAAAATACGAGACAGAAACGCGAGATGAACTGGGGCGGTTTTTGTTTCACAAAAAAAATATAATTCAAGAGAGCAGTTTCTTTGAATTTCGCGTTATTTTTATGCTACATATCTAACTTACAATCTTTATTCAGTATAATAAACCGATATTTACCTATTTCTACAATACATATTATTTTTAACTACATTCATTTCGATTTGAATATCAAAGAATTCTGCAAACTGCGATTTTTCCTTTGCACCGCGGCGCCCTGTTTGCAATAGCAAACATCGATATCCTTGCGCTCCACCTTACCCGTACAAGTTTTCTTCACCAGGTGCCAAACAATACAAAACGGGTAAACGATGAAAAATATCAAATTCACGCAGAATTCCGCGTGCGCCGGTATGTTCCTCACCCTATCGCCCGTCTCCGGATGCACAGGCCACCCGTTAGCATCGTACACCACAGCCAATCGATTGATATCCCTCTCGTAATACCTATCGATCTTCTTCGGCAGATCCAGCACGACCTCCAAGCCCCACAAACCGATGGGCACCACGCAGATGCCCGCCACGCCTTTGACCAGCCCCATCACCAGCAGCGTGAGGCACACCGTCACGAACGCGTAGAGAAACATCGCGATCATGTCGTCCCAGAAGGTGTACTCCACCACGCGCAGCGCCGCCGGCTCGCCGCCTTGGAAGCCGGCCACGTGGTAGGCCTCCAAAGACAGCGGCTTGCACTTCAAGCCCAGATCGGCCGAGTAGCAGGCGCACGAGCAGTGCCACGCGCAGACGCATCGGTCCTTCCGCTGCAGCCGGATCTTCCGCAGGGCGATCAGCTCTTGCTTGACGTTGAGCACCTGCAGGGAGCAGACGAAGCCGTTTAGGGGCAGCGGGCATTGTATTTCCAGGTTGTAGACGTGCTGGTGCTGGGGCGGTATCAACGCCGGTTTGGAGTAGATGTGGCTGAAGCTGGCCGGTAAATTCAACGGGCAATCCGTCACGCCGACGTAGAAAACGCTCGATATCAAGCCGGAGTTGAATATTTTGGCGATGATCGAGGTTTTCTGCGAGTTGGTGCTCTCCACGTACACTTCGGTTATCGTCGCCAAGCTGTTGGCTCGCAACAGAGGATTATCGTCGGATTTGATTTCTATATCGAGGAGACTCGTGTAAATGTTCGTCAAGTACATCGATAACGTCCGGTTTTCTTTATCGGACGATATAGGTTCGTCGGGTAGGAGGCCGTAGAATTTCAAAAAGTATCGGCCTTTCTTTCCTTCCACGTCCAGATCGTGGTCTTCTTCCCACATGTGAATCGGCTGGTTTTTGAGGCAAGTGCCCCTCGGGTTCGAGCAACGATTGGCCTGCTTGGCGAAGGCTTCGTAACCCACGCCCGCCACGTTGCAGGTTTTCCCGTTCTGCTGCACTTGCGCGCTCTTAACCACCAAGTACTCCCCGGGTCCTCCCTTGATCTCCGGATGCGGAATCACCTCGTCAACGTTCAACACGTCGGGAACGAGTATCTTGTGCAGCTGGTAATTCAGCGTAAACGTGTTGTCGGGCAGGGGTTTTCTATCGTAGCCCACGGACAGCGTGGAATCCTCGTTGGCGAAATTCTCGAAATCCGTACCGACGGTTACGGGGGTTTTCTTGGTGAGGTCCCTCCACTTGCAGACGCCTTCTAAGGTCTGGTACTTCTCGAATATCCGCACGGCGACGCTGTGGTGCACTTTGGGCTTGCGAATGCGGTACACGAAGTACCAGAGATCGGAGAACTGCAAACAGTGGCTGCTCGAATGGTAATCGTCCGGATTGATGATGTTTGCCGGGGTGTATTTGTCGTTGCAGTTCTGGCCTCCACGTTTGTGAGGACGTGCCTGTGAGGTATCTGTACAACATAAAATTGTTCTTGTAGTAGGTAGGTAAAAAATTATTTAGTTAATAGTTGGTTACCATTTTCAATGTTTCTGTTTTCAGATGATTGTTCGTTATTGGAATATGTGCTGTTGTTATGCATTGATTTCAAAGATGGTGTTAGGTGGTTTTCTGCATAGTTCTTTTCTAAAAATAGTTATTATAGTTAGTAGTATATGAGTGTTTTATGTGAACATTACATACCGTACGAGGGTATTTTCTCGAATTTGTACGAGTATGGTAGGTTGGAGAAGTTTAAAAAATGCACCGAGTCTTTATCTTTATTGCAGGAACAACAAAACCCGTTGCTATAAGGTACAGTTTCGCTTCTGTAACTCACGGAACCGCATACAGGATTATTAGGACTATCAGATCGACATCCAGTATACCCTAAAAATGGAAATAAGTATCCGTGCAAAGAGAAAATGTTTCATTAGGTATAAGAAGATTGTAAGAAAATCAAGACTTGATTGATAATCGTTCATTTACCAGCTTGATTTTTGTTAACAACCAGTTCCTTAGCTTGTGCATTAACAACTCCATCGTAGCAGAGCCCGTAGACGGCCAGCACGGGTTCCTGGGTGATCTTCAGCACGTAGGGATTGAACAGTTTCTGCTTCTGCTGCGTAACGCTATCGAACACGTGATCGACGAGCACGTACTGGCTTTTAGTATCGGTGACGCCGGCGTTTCTCATTTTAACCGTGAGTTTCAACTTCCTCTTGCAATTCGCTATTCCCGGCGTCGATTCGCCGGCCTTTTTGCGCTCGCTGTCGTCGGAATCGGGACTCCTGAGGGTCCTCACGACGGTCATCGGGGTGCGTTTCTTGTCGGCGGTTTTGTCAACCTTGGAGCATTTCGATAACACTGCTTTTATCTCGAAATCCGTGGGATAGGTTTTGCAACAAGCGGCTCTCCGAGCGCAACACTGCAGGTTCTTTTCATCTTCGACGCTATAAGGATCCGGTTGGCTACATAGGGGCATAAAAAGGGGTAGAAAAGCTAATAAAATCTTCATAAATACCTGGTATAATTGATATTGTTATTATTTGTTAAAATAAAATTAATTAATGACGTATATGCAGTCACATTATCATTTAACTACATCAAAAATCATGACACAATCACCATATTGAGGATGAACCTTAAAATTTATTCAATTCAAGTCCCATACAGAGAGTGATATAATAACGATATAAATAAGTAGGCTTATAATATATTTAAAAAACTATATCGTTATAAATAATATAGGTATCGATTGGTCGATAAATTTATCGAAAATTCGCGATGAAAAGGCGGCGAAAAGAAATATACATATAATAACCCTCCTCAAAACTCCCGGCGGGGCGAATATAAAACTTCGGAAGCGAGAAAAGCGAGAGCACGGGTTGCCAGATTATACTCAATAATTAAACAATTATGCAACGTTTTAGTCGTCTCCCGGGAAAGCGAGCGGAAAATTGCCTTGGGCTGCGCAATAACGCGCCCTTATTCCCTTATGATATTAATAACCGGTTGAGATTCGCTCGCAAAAAGCGCCGCTCTCGGTTCTCTAATGATGCGAAAAGGCGCAAAAAGGATCGCTAAGACGCGCAAAATGAAAAAGAAAAGATTATTTTACTAATACAAGTACCCTATACACTCCCTTATATTATATATAATTCTTTTAATATATTTATTTTATTGATGATGTATACCTAGTACAGTAAATGCAGATGCACTACTAATAAAATATTACCTACTAGATACAAATGTTGTTTATAGTGCCTGGTTATACCCTTTACAAAAATGCGACTTAAAATTTTCGCTAATAGCCCCCTCAAATGAGGAGAGAAAGGATTTTTTCCGAGAAGATTTTTATTAGTTTATTGTGCGTATAAACCAGTTTATCTGTCGGTGAACTGGCGGGTAGAGAAGAACTCGACATTTTATTAATGTTAGGGCTAATATAACAATAAACTTTCAACCGAGATTCTAATCCTTTTACTCTTAGATTCAAAATACCGAAAGCAGCTACTTACGGTTATTGGGGAAAGGTTTTATGTTAAAAGGTAATAATCTATTCTGTACTTTGTTTAATATTTGGATAATAACATGTAATAGGATTTTCTGTCGTACAATAATAATTATCTATTTAAGTATACCTATACCTATTTAATCCTGCAATAGACATCTGTACTTAACAACAGGTATCATGTCTTGTGTTCCAACGTATAACAGTAAACCTTTTAGACATATTAGTTATTTAAATGTATTATAATAATACTATAGATTTCTATTTCCCTGAAAAGAATAAGGATTCCTGTAGCAGAGACCCAGGAAAATATTCTTTATACATCATCATGCACTCTGTAAACTTTATATAACCATGCACAAATCATCATGCGTCAATAAATGAATTATATAAACTTATACTTTGAAGCAATTTCAGGGTTTCCTATAATGTCCTGATTTCCCCTTATGTTGATGTCAAGGTAAACTGGGGCAAATGTAAAAATGGGGTAAATGTAATATTTTTACCTATTATGTTAATGTTTTTATTATTTTTATAGTTCTTTTGTGCATTAGACAGGGTTTGTTTCTTATTTTTTCTTTATTATTTTGTAGCTCTGTTATTTTTTGAAATAAATAAATAAACAGCATATCAAATTTTAGAGAAACCAAATATTTTTTTACAATTGCCCCATATGTTTTTTCTATATAATTGTATTGCACTTTAAACCGTAGAACCGTAACATATTGTCAACATTTTAAAAAATATGTAAAATCGTTTTCTTCCTTTTTCAAAAAAACTTTTAATACCACGATTCTTTAGTTTAGGAAGTTGTGAATTTAATGTGGTATCAGCATTTCTAATAAGAGAAAAAATAAAGCCACATTTTAGGATTTAATTTGAACTATTCAAATTTTACAACCGATTTGCCCCAGTCTACTTTAATAGTTTAAAAAATTACTTTTTTTCTTAAGAAAAAAGAAACTTCTAAAACATAGATAGATAATGATTTTTTTTCCTCTCGTCAATTCCATGTAGAGACACATCACTGTAAATTAATTTTATATACCTTCATATACCTAAATTTTGTTCATTTTTGAGTCCCCATTTTTGAGCTAGAGGCATTTAAAGTTGAAAATTTAAAACTTATTTTTATGTCTTTTTAATTAAAATTAATGGTTTAGGAGAAATTTCAATTTTTAGATTGAAATGATAGGTAGAGACGCTCAAAAATGGGGGCTCAAATTTATATGAACCACATTTATATTAAGTTATATACCCTTATGTTGATGTCATCCAATCGCTCCCGAATTATTGACATCTATTTTCTGGACACTCTGTATATATAGGTATATCAGATACTATACAGAGGTTATATCATGCATACTGGATGTAGTACTTTTTTGAAACAATGTAATAGAAGGGAACCTGTTTGTTTAACGACTCATTAAAACCCTCATATCAACTTTACGCAATTAAACGTATAAACTGGAAAATGGACTTTCCAGCAGCGCGAAAATACAGCCATATACGAGATATACTCCAAATATACCTATACTCTCTCTAGAGCGGCCGCTTCCCGGCATAAAATTAACTTTGTTCAAAGCATCTTTATAGTCTCCATAAAAATATAATCAATACGGGCATAAGCTGTATAGCGCTCGGTAGCGGAGCCAACCGTTATTAAGGTTCCGAGCAATTATGGTCCATATACCCGCTCTAATAGATGCCGACATCTACTAAGAGTCGATAAGGAGTGCAGCGAGCGAAAATGACTCTAAACGCTCTCTAAATTAGACTTCTAGAAGGCGGAGCGACCAATCACTGATCGATGCCGCCGCCCGGCCAATGGGGACGCGCCGGGGGCTCCGCCTCTGTCAGGTTAAATCTTCTAAGTACAACGTTTATACTGGGGTAGGTACCGATGTTGGGTTTTAGTTTCGTCTTCGTGACCGTATTAGTTGGTTTGGTTTTTGGTTTGTGGCTGAAATACGTTAACGTTTTCGATTTGCAATTTTTGTATTGTATAGTTTTTGTGGAAAATGTATCATCAAAGTGAACAGAAGGGTACTTCCGTCGTTTTGGACGTGATTCCCCCGCAATATAACCCGCACATGCATCACGGGCAGCCTAGCCCACCGCAAAGTCCCAATCAACATTATACCAAAGGTAAAGGAAAAGAATTTTGGTTTAATATCATTATCATCATGCATGCTATAATTAGTTTCGTCTAATTTTTTTTAAGATTTTTGATACTTATAATACATACAAACCTCTACAGTATTTTCCAAAAATGTTCTTCTTCTTTTGACATGTTTGAAGATTTTTTGTGATTGACGTTTCAAAAGTTTAATCGCAAATCACAGAATTAAATAAGTTGGCCTATTATTTTTTAACCATTATAAATTATATAGGCGACTGGATTTACAATTTATATCGTGCATATTTTATGTAAATTAAAAAGGAAGCCTTGGATGTCAAATTGACAATTGTCAAGTAAATTTAATTTTCTGGTGACTCAACTAAAATCTAACGATCCTACCTGAAATAAATCCTTATAAAAAATGGGGATTTTCACGTATTGTAATGATAATCACTAATTAAAGTTAGGTATATTATCCTAAATATTATGTCGCCATAATCTACCTTCCCTTATAATTCCATTTACTTAATCACCTGGTGTGATAAAGAGGCGTATAAGGATCAATACCAATATTAATGTCAAAATAATACTATATCCTCTAATCGTTTGCACACTTTAAGCCTCATCATCTTTTAGGAACCTCATGCATCCCAATATTTTCACACCTAATATGCAGTTTATTCCAAAGCCCTCTTTATTAATAAGAAATTATTCTTTGCAGATTGCTCTAGTCCGGTAAACAGTTCAGATCTAAAATCCGGGACGCCTTCCAGCCCCTCGAACATACCCGATCCGAACATCAGGCGCTACAGGACGGCCTTTACCAGAGAACAATTAGCCCGATTAGAAAAGGAATTTTACAAGGAAAACTACGTTTCCAGGCCGAGGCGGTGCGAACTGGCCGCTCAGCTCAACCTACCCGAAAGTACCATAAAGGTAAAGAAATTTTCCGTGCCAAAAGCGTTAATAAATAACAAAAAGCTGCAAGTTTATAATTCCTCATAAAGAATAGAATTTAAATGAATGTTCAAGCCAACAGAACCGTTAACAATTTTTCATTTAAAATGCACATACGAGTTGGAACAATGACCAACTTGATAGTGCGGTTACCGCCTTTCAAGTATAGGTACTTAGCACATTATAAAACATATCATACCGGCTTATCTGTCCATTAGACTACCATGTTGCCGGCGACTGGAGAGCCGCTGTTTTTTATAATAGTCGAATTAGTACGTTGTCGGTTCAATTGATGTTTTTAAAAGGTTTATAAACATTTTATTTGATCGAGTAATGTGTTAATTGCCGACGAAAACTCGCAGCCAATAATAAACACTAATGGCTTTCGCCTCAAGAGAAATCCTCTTCGGGAATTAAACAAACATCATATAGCGGCGTGTTTTTTAATAATTTTTATTGCGTTACGCGGAACCGCACATATTTAATCGGATTTAATGTTTGTTTGGTAATTTAATTAGTCCCCTAATGTTAATGCAGTATTATAATGGCGCACATCAAAGTACTTACTGAATTTACAAGGCCAATTTTTACTGATGATCTAGTCGTATACAGTCGATAGTGTGTATAGATTTTTTAATTCTAAGCAACTTTTCAAGTAAATTCAAGTAAATTTTGATCAGTTAACTTTTCAACTAAAAATTGAAAAAAACAAGCTCTCTTATTTTCCAGAATATTAAAAAATTGTACTTGAAAAAGTTGCTTAGAATTAAATGATCTATACGTAGTTAAAAAAGAATATCAACTTATGAGACACCCTGTATGCGAATTAAATAAATTAATCGAAATTAAATTGTTGCAGGTGTGGTTCCAAAACAGGCGAATGAAGGACAAAAGGCAACGCATGGCGATCGCCTGGCCGTACGCCGCCGTCTACACGGACCCCGCGTTCGCCGCCTCCCTCCTGCAGGCCGCCGCTTCGTCGCTGCCGCTGCACTACCCGCCGCCGCCGCCCATGTACGCGCCGCACTACCCGCGATACCACCCCTACCCGGGCTTCGGGGTGCCGCCGCTGGGCGGGCACCCGCTCAACGTGCAGCAGAACGTCGGCATCGGCGCGGCGCCCGCGCCCGTCGGCGTCCACCACCCGCAGGGGCTGAACTTGAACCTGAGCTTCGACTTTCCGCAGGCGTACCACCCGCACCAGCTGCCGAAGGCGTCGCCGAATTCGCCGGCGCATTCGGAGATCAGCCTCAGCCCGCCGGTGCACGAGGGTTTGCTCATACCGGCGGCGAAGATGTCGCCCCACACCCAGGTCACTGTTGGCGAGAAGCCCAAGTTGTTCAAGCCCTACAAGTCGGAGGCGTAATTGGGTGGTTTTATTTTAATTGTACGAGAATTATTGGCATTCCACAGGAGCAACTATCTGATGTATAAATAAGTAAACTAATTGTATATTCTTCTGGAAAAAGAATTAATGTTTTAATCCGTTTGTTGAGCGAATGGAAATCATGAAGTTGTAGCGTATAAAGGCATGTTAGAAGAAGCCGAAAGTTAGTAAAAGAATCCGATGAAAATAAGTATAACGCGGAATTGGGTTTGGATTTTTTTTATTAAAATTTGTGATAAGTGTACTAATTTATGTGTAGGAAATTAAGTTGTGTAATATAGTGATAACTTTGTACATATAGTTTAAATTATTTTATGTATACTAAAACATATTGTTGATATACCTATATTAATATAAATTAAATAATGTGAAATGAATCCTATAGTCTCTCATTTATACACCATTTTTCTGTATATAAAAACGAAGAAAATTTTTTCAAAATGAATAAACACCTACAATATCCTTACATCAATACAGATACTTCGTAACACTTATAATTAGAAATAATCAGTTACATTGTTGTCTTTTATGTATACATAATGAGTAATACAGTGCTAATTATCACCTAAAACGTTTTGAAAATGAACCTTCTGAGAAATAATTAAGAGTTAATTAAATTTAAATAAATATTTAGGTATATACCTACTCTTATATAAAATCTTTCCAATTTTTTTCCTTCATGACACGAATGCCTATATATTTTACATTAAGCTATTAGTAAATATTCATACATAAATTCACATAAGTAATAATTTACAATTAGCATAAAATTTTATTAAGCAAACATACAAGGTGCATGGAACATAAATCCGAAATAAAACAATTTAGTTCTCGCCGTATATTTTAAAACCCGATTAAAAGCGAGCATAATGCAGTCATTAAAATGCGTTTAAACAATTTTCGAAGCGCACGAGCCCCATGTAGGCGCATAAATAATTCACCAATATATCAAGTTAATTGGCATTGATTTTCTATTATCCGGCATAACATAGCAGGCTGCGAAAGGCGAGATGAAGAGAATAGCAATAGCGATACCAGCAGCGGAACAGAGAACGGTGCAATTGCACTCCTCTTCCTATACAATACATAAATTCTAATGAAGTTTTATTTTATTTGGATTTATTTTATTGTTGTTTTTTTATGTATTTTACAACTAAACGTGGTTTATAATGTTATTAATTTGACTAATTAAACAATTTGAGTACTTGTAGTGCGAAAAAAATTGTAAGAGAAAATTTTAACAGTCGGTGATTCCCCTGCGAATCGTACGGGATCTGGCCCTGGTAATTCGGTCTAATCTTATATCTATTACATTGTTGACTGCCGAGGATTAATACGATGGGGAATACGAACAATTTGTCACGCGCGTTTCGACTGGAGGTACCTTCTTCTTCTATTTTCGCTCTCCCCTCGTTTCCATTCTCTTTTAGACGGATGATAACGCATTTATCTCAGTTATATCGCGTGTCCCGAAATGCGAGACGAAAATTTCCTCCTGCACGTTTTCACCAGATATCCCTATAAATTCGAAATTTATATCTACCAATTCTCATATTGATTTAGTTTGAATTATCCACCTCTTCCTTTTATCTATATACAGGTATACCTATGTGCAATTTCGCTGTTATATAGAAGATAAAGAAAACTCCAATAAATCTCGTTAAAAGAATACGAATAGTGTTTTTGAACCGTTATAGTATTGGATTTCCGGGAGGTCGGAGATAAATGTAAAAACCGTAAAGGACGTATCCTGATGGGAAGGATAAGCTCGAGGAAGAAGCGACTCAGGTCTTCCGGGGGAAAGGGGACGAAACCAGCGGCGTTTATGTGGATGTAATCTAGTCAGCGAAATAAATGGGCCGTAATAAATTCTGAAATATACGGATTTAGGATAGCATCTGAGATTCCGAGTTTATGCCCGATGCTCGGTATAGAGGAGAATGTAATATAGATCCTCCCCGTTTCGCTGAAATGTTATTAAAATCTATTCCTAGATAATGGAATAGTAAGTTGTTAAATATATGTATGTATGTATAAGTACTCTATTTTATTAGATTTTTTTATTCATACTGAAAATTTTATTTCGCATTGTATAGAACTTTAAGATGCGTTCAATGACAAAATTGACATTTATAATGACAGAAGTTTAATAGAGGTGGGAATGGATTGTTAGGTATAGAGGTGCAGTAACGACTGTATAACAGTTACTTTACTGTACTAGAAATTAATTAAATTATCCATCTAAGTCCGCACAGGTAATTAAGCAGAAATAATTTATTACATTATATTTCGACGAACCGTCCTAAAACTGAATAAATAACGCATCAATTTCGGAGCAATCGGGGCGATTTAAATTGATCAGCACGTCCAATTTCCGTTAAAATTGACTCCGAACCACCATCCAGGAATAATCCCTTTTTAAGGCGAGCGATTCCTCCGCCGCTAAGCTACCGCCGGCGTCTCCCCGGCTTTTTCGGTCCCCCCATGCCCGACGTCGGACGGCCAATGGGGCGCCGCGACGCCGCGCCGCGCCGCCAATAAGCGCCGCGAACGCGTCGATAAAAACCGTCCGACAACATTATCGGCCATGATAGCGAGACCGGCTCGCTCGGGCCGATTCCTCTCATAAATCCGGGCGGATTTCCAGAGCGCCCCGATATAACGTATTTCGCTGGGATTCTTCCAAATTAATTAGCCAGAAGCTAGTCGATTGCGCTGAGCGCTATGCCTGTTCGCGGAAAACCTATAGTCTCGTAAAATCATGCCTGTTAGTTTCTGGTAGGGCCATTGTGAAAGGGATATAATTCTTGTAAAATTTTATGGAGCTGTCAACGTTTGGTCGGGGCACAATGGACGATGCGAATTCGAACTGGAACAAACTGACTACCGTAACTAAAGGCGTTCTAGAGACAGCTCTTCTTTATGGAAGTCAAAATATTGTGCACTTATTTGTGTTGGGAGCGGTGCAAAACGGCACGGAGTCGTTGGTAATTTTCAGATGTCGCCGAGGAACCGAATGGGATTCGGAACGAATTCGATTTCAGACGTGTTAGTTACGATCGGAAGGCGTTTAAAATTAAGTCGTGAAACAAATTTTGTACGGATCCATTCGGAACTGGTAAACATTGGAAAATATTTTGAAAAATTTAGGTATAAATACTTACAAAAGATGCTTTATCAGAGAGAATCGTTTGTGTAAAAAAAAGCAAGTGTTTGAAACAGATCCCGGTGTTGCATTATCTTCATGTTGTTTCTAATTCTATTTAATTTCATATTGAATAATGTGGATAGGTAGGTATATTAAAGGAAATAAGGCAAATGCGAATTTTGTGTTTTATTTCGCTTTATGAGGAGCAGTAAAACGTGCAAAAGTGCAATTTTTCCTGTCAATTATGCGACGTTATACAACTTTGTCCGGGTCTTGTTAACTTTATTGGCCGAAGTAATGATTTGCTAAAATTGAAAAGGCGCTATAAAATCTAATAAATCCATAAAAGTAGTTCAACGAACGAAATAATACGGTGCCGTAAATTTTATTTATTTATTGGGATAATATAAGAATTAGAGACCCTAATAACAAGTCGCTACCGTGAAGACGGTACCTTACCAAACCAGTGCCGTTTTTCTATTGGATTTTTGGGATACTATTTATTCTAAGACGAAATTTATTTCGAGAATTTGGAAAAATAATTATGTAGCTTCTCACTTTTTATAATTGGACTAATTTAGCCCATATGTTTTGTTTCTAAATTGAACTATGCTATAGAATAAAACTAAATTCTCTTTGTAGATATATGTTAAGTGTCTTATTATATTAGTATTTCTTCAAGAACTCTTATATTAATAAAGTAAAACTTCTCTTAATATGTACCTACAAATTATAGTTTAAATATTTATTCCAAAATCATAGTAACTTAGATGTTCCAACGCCTCTGATATCTACCTACACAAATTGCACTTATAAACTTTACAACCCCAATAGTCGTGTCGGCGTCAAGCAAAGCGAACCCCCCGAAGTTAGTGCCTGTCCCATATTTTGGCTACTGAAGACCTTCGGAAAGAGGTTTACGGAATATTAGCGATTGTCAGAAAAGTTATCCACTTAAATAAAGAAAGTCATAACTTATAACAGTTATGGGTTTGTAACGAGATTTTCTCGAAAAATCGAAATAATGCCGCTTGTAAAACGAACCGATACCGATACTGATGTTTTTTTTTTCGAAATTCATCCAATTCTTATAGGTGGGAAATATACATAATAAAAATCTATACCTATACTGCTGATTGAATGGATATTAATAGTAATCTATTCAGGTAAATTCAAAATTGTTGCAAAATGAAAAAAAGACATCAACTTCTAATAATTAAGTCTCATATAAAGGAAAAAGAAAAGGTGATATTGTGGAATTGTAACTTCCCCAATCTACACCGGGAAATGCCTTACGGAAACGACAATGGAGATGCCAAAACTGCAGTCGAAGGCAGAAAAAAGTTATTCCTTTGGTAAATAAAGAGGTTTAAAATTGACCAATCCCAGTAGCAGTTCACATACTGTTATATTATATTAACAATCTTTCTTTGTTCAACTCATAGAATTCACTACATTACGCACACATTTGCATTAATACCCAATGTGTATACCATCTTTTATAAATATTAATTTCTATATGTGATTTAGGAAACACCTGCACCTAGTAATTAAAATTTGAAAAGTTGTGTACCTACCTATACAAATATTGGTCAATAAACTCTAATCAAAATATTTTCAACTTTGTCCCGAGTTCTTAGGTATATTATTCATATAGGCAGTAATAATATTATAGTTGGTAAGAATACTTTATTATTAGATAAAAGGAAGGAGTTTGTGGTTTAATAATTACATTCCCTTGGTAACTCCAATAACTAAATTATTCTAGGATAGATGCATTGCTATAATGGTCCATTTAAAATAACCTGCTTGATCGCCAGACTTAAATCCTTTGGATTATTCAATTTTATATCGACATTTTAAATTAGTTCTACTTTTCCATATAGACTTTTGACCACACTGTATACAATAATGTTCAAACAAGAACTTTATCAAAGATAAACCAAATGCATCCCATCAAATGTAACTACAACACAAACACAAATCAATTTAAAAGCCTATTTTACCCCCGACCGGGCGCTGACCATTGTTAATTGCAACGAATTCACCAAATATGTAACGTAATGTCCACCGCCAGATGCATCGCGATAAATCCACAACCA